CGTAAAGAAAAATTTTAATAATTTAAAAAATTTTAAAAGTTGGATAATATTTATATCAAGTTTTTTCATATTGGCAATAACTCAATTAATTTTTTTAAATAAAGGTTTAAAAAACATTTCTACATCAATTTTATATCCATTAGTTTTTTGTATTTATAATATAACAAATATTATAAATGGATTAATTTTTTATGATCAATTGAAAATTTTAACAAATTTCCAATCATTTATGATTTTGTTAGGTACATTATTAGTGCTATTTGGAGTTTTTTCATTAAGTTGGAGATTAAATGAATTTTCAGATTCAAAAGATAATATTTATAATTCATTAAAAAGAAATTCAATTAATTCAAATACAGAAAGATCATTATTATTATCACCTGGAACAAATATGATTCAAACTCAATCAAATCAATTTAATACTTCATTTGGTTCAAATCTTGATGAAAATTTTGGAGATAATACAGAATATATATCATTTGGTTCACCAAAAGGTGAATCACCAATTGTTATAAATGATGAACCAGGTTATACAAGTGATGAATTAGATCATGTTTCTAAATCACCAATTTTATCACCTTTTAAATATGGTAGTATAATTGATAATAATCCAAGTGGTATAATTGGTTCTAAAAATCAAAAAAGAAGAAGTAAAAGAGTATTATCATATGAACAAAATGAATTATTAAATCAATTGAAAAAAATGCCAGATGTTTAGAGATATGAAAATACTATACATAAAATTTTAATAAAGTTTACGAATTTTTACGTTATAATTGAAACAAAAGAATATACGTAGATAAATATATTAATTTGTTGAAGAATCAGCAATTTGTTCTTCAGGTGGGATAGTGAAAGCACCAGCTAAACTTAATGCAGGTTCTTCAATATTATGATGAGCATAACTTAAAACACCAACACCACCAGCATCTAATAAGAAATTTGGATTTTCTTGTAAATATCTATAAGTTGATCTATGAATTGGTTCAATTGAATCATTTGAATAAGATTTAACATATTTTGGAGTTTCATTAGTTATTTGCTTTTCAATACCTAATTTAAACCAAAGTGCAGCAAAATAACGTAAAGTATGACCATGAGCGAAAACAAGAACATCACTTGGTTTATCTTCACTAATTGCCTTTTTATGAATACCTTGAATTCTATCAATAACTCTTGATAATCTAAGACCAACCTGTTCAGAAGTTTCACCATTTTCACAACCATCTCTCCAAATTAACCAAGGTCTTTCTTGATCAAGACCTTTAGCAGCTCTTTTAGCAATAATTTCTTTAGTTAATAAACCTTCATAATCACCATATTCCCATTCTCTTAAATCTTCATCAATAACAATTTGAATGTTTTGTCTAATTGATTCATCAACACTTTCTAAAATTAATTGAATAGTTTGTAAAGCTCTTTTTCTTGGTGAAGTTAAGATATAAGTGATTTGATCAGGTTTAATGAATCCAGTACCGAAAAGAGCCTTACCAGTTCTTTTCATCTGTTCAACACCAAATGGAGTCAAGTCTAAATCAGTGTATGAAGTATATTGACCAGATTTTGACCATTCAGTTTGTCTGGGTATTAATATTAGTACCGATGAGCAAGTATATTATACCATATAAATATGGAAAGTAAGCCATTTCAAATACTCACCCATGACGGACAAAGATAGCTCTAGGACAAGGTGCTTTACCCATTATGAATTGCTTTGATCAGTGTTAAGATTTCTAGCTTTTCAATTGAATTGCAGTGTAAAATTTGTTCAGGTGATGACTTTTTGCTATAAAAATATTCAAATTTATCGGATTTCTGAACAGCTGAGCTCCGAAAAACGTTTAAAAGATGGTGATTTTGGTGGGAAATTGAGTTTTTGCACCTGAAAAAGAGGAATTTGGTATTCATTTAATCAAATAATAGATATACCATGATCTTCAAGTATTCTTTCCTATTTCAAGGCTTTAAATCCATCAATTGTATGTCAAATCCTTAATAATTCAAGTAATTCCTGCTTATATAATTCACCGGTGATTAATCACAAAGCGAAAAATCACCTTTAAAAACGAAAAGAAAACAAAGGAATTTTGATGATCTTTTGGATTTTGACAGATCTTTTGAAGGACTTTTGGGAATCTGGTTAATATCAAGGGCTCTTTTGGTCAGAAGATGAGTGCTTCACGTTGGGTACAGCGCAATAGAACCGTATTGGGGGTTTTCGCTACGTTGTTTGTGATACTGGTGCTATATTTCCGTTCTGGTGGTGATGGAGATGGAGATGCTGCATTATCAAATGAAGAAGTAAATGATCTTTTATCTGGGGAAGATCAGGCTAATACTGGTATTGAAAGAGTGAAATTAGATCAGTTGGGATTACATACCCCATACTTGGAAGCTGATTTGAAATCTAAAAATTGGAATATTGAAGGTGATACTTTAATTAAGAATAAAAATTATGTTAGATTAACAAGTGAAAAAAAAGATCAAGTTGGTTCAATATTCACCAAGAATTCTTTCAATGATAAAGGTTTTGAAGTCGTGTTCAAATTTAGTATCAATGGTAAAGCTCGTATAAATGGATTAAAAGGTGATGGTTTTGCAATGTTTTTAACTGATAAACAATTATTACAAGGTCCTGTATTTGGTGCAAGTGATTATTTTAATGGACTTGGGATCTTTTTCGATACTTATAGAAATGCTAAAAGAGGTCCAATGTTCCCATATATCTCTGTTATGAACGGTAATGGTCAAACTAAATATGATAAAGATCATGATGGGAAAGAAAATGAATTAGGTGGTTGTTCAGCTCGTGGTATTTATAATCCAAAAAAGGGTGAAGTTGATGCAAGATTGATTTATACCAGTGATGATGGTTATTTATCATTAGATTATAATTATAATGGTGATTGGAAAAATTGTTTCACTTTAAATGATGTTAAAATCCCAGAAAATAGATTTTTAGGTTTTAGTGCTGCAACTGGTGATTTAGTAGAAAATCATGATATTTTTGAAGCTGATGTTTTCAGTTTAAAACAAGATGGTGAACAATTAACTTCATTTAATCAAGTTTCAAATCAAGATTCCCAAGATTCTCAAGATTCTCAAGATGATGAAGATGATGATCCAGATTATGAAATTGATTATAAAGGAAGAAAAAGAAAGAGAAAAAATCTTCGTAAAAAAAGAAGTTCTAAATCAAGAGCAAGATTAAGAAATAGAATAAGAAATAGTGAAAGAAGAAGATTAAAATTAAAAGAACAAAATGGTGGAAATGATTCAGGTTTCCAATTTTTCCATACATTATGGACTTTAATCAAATATACTTTTTATTCAATTATAACATTGATAATTTTATACGTTATTTTCACATTTGTTAGAGTTAAATTAAGAGAAAGAAGACGTAATCAAAGAAAAAGTGGTATCTTGATGTGATATTATCCTCATAGTATACCCTCATATAGTATCTAATTATATATAAGTCATAAAATATGTACATATAAAAATAAATTATGCATTGGTTTTAATTACAAATATATTCCAAGTAGTTGTTTTTCAATATTAATTATTATATTATGCATTAAAAGACAGATATTTTAACTAGCTGTCATCACTATATATACATGATCCAATGAATATTTTCATTTTTTAACACCAGTTGAACCTTCTGAAGATTTAATAGTTTCGATTTCATTATCTAATTTAGTAACATTTAAATTTAATCCCCAAACTTCATTATTTATACCAAAAATTTTCAAAATTTTAGAATCATTATAATAAGATTTTTCCAAGAATTTAAATTGTTTCAATTTTAATTTTTTCTTTAAATCATAATCTGTTGACATAACATCAATTAATACAATAATCTTGGAAGCTTTATTTTTATTTAATGTATTTGATCTAATAATTGCCCAATCTATTAAATCTTCTAAAATTCCAGATTTATAATAAACTTTACGAACACCACAACCTGTAATTTTAGTGACAAATTTTTCATCATTTGATAATTCTGGTTTGGTAACTAATGAAAGTACAGCAATTGGAGTTTCTCTATAAACAATAATTTGAGTATTTTCACCCTTTGATAATAATTCTTTAGTTTTTTTATCATTTTTATTAATATTTAATGAAGCAAATTCTTTTAAATCAACACCAAAAATTTCTTTATTTTCATCAACAATTTTTTCACTTGTTTCTTTTATAAAATCAGTTGATTTTGTTAATATAGTAAATAATAAAGATGAAAACATTGCAACAAATACTAAAATTGTAATTAATTCATCTTTATTTGCCTTAACCATTCTCCAACCACCAACAAAATACATCCATCCTAATTTATAATAACCAAATGATAAAATACCCGATAATACAACCAATATAGTATAAGGATGTCTTATTATTTGTTGATTTGCTTGAGATTGTTTTTGTCTTATGAAATCAACAGTTAAATTTAAAGCAGCATTTGAATAAGATGGTATTAATTTTGTACCATAAATAGTTGGAGGTGCAGTATGATCAATTGGTTGATCTAATTGAACTTCTTTTTGAATAGCCATTGTTGTTTAATGTATGATATATTTGTAGATCACACCAAGGAACAATAAATCAATCTTACTGAAAATTTTCCAATGAGATGAAATGTACTTTTATAATAAAAACGTTTATAACCTTTTACCAATTTTGACACTTTTCATCGTTTGACTGTTAAATTACAATTCGCGCACGTGTAAAACAACCAATTTTGGCGTAAAATTGAAAGAAAATGGGAGACTAATCGGGTAATTCATTGATATTCAAATAGCGATAATTGGCGTAAAATGTCGTTAATTTTGGCGTAAAGTTAACCAAAATAGTAATCACAACTGAAAATATTTAATGATTTAGTTATACTGTTATACTATAGTTCTTGATTCTTGAAGAGGATAGAGTGAGTTATTAGGGGGAATGTTAAAGTCACTGCTATAATCTATCATTATTAATATTTTGCTTACTCATTAAGTGTTAATCCTCGAAGGAATGGTTCAAAAACGTGTAAGTTTAAGCATCCTTTCAATGCCTCGATAAGCTATAGTACTGAATATCAAAATGGTTAAGAATGTTGAGGATCGTGAAGTGAAAATTATAACACGCTAATGAAGATTCTAAAGCTGATGTTGGAAGTACTATTATATACAATCCATATACATGAATCTCAAATATGTAGTTGTTTAAAGATATCTTCAAATGATATATCTCATGAGCTGGTGTTAACCATGATGTAAAATATCAATCTCCATTATAGCAAAACAACTTTACATCAATGTATCTAGTGCATTAATTCAACCGGATAACAATCCCCTATCTTCACAACTTTATAAAAGATGTAACTCGACATGAGTACTATAACTATTAGAAGGTCACGTCACGCTTACTTTGATCTATGTTTGACCCCATGTTTGATGTCAATTGGCTAAAGTCATATAGGTTCAAATGCGCGTATCATCAAGATATCTAAAACTAATTCATGAAGGGTTAAAGCGTGATATAATTATTTCAATTGCAAATTAATTTACATCCTTTAGATATTGATGATTCATGAACGCTAAAGCCTCAAGGGTTAGATTTAATAGGAGTGATTAACGATAAATGTACCTTACTTAAATAACTAACTACGCTAAAAATACTCGAGAATCTAATCGCGCTTCAATCTAAATTAATTACACGCTTTAAAATAACGCGTTCTATTAAGGACTAGATGATTCTCCCAACCGTTTAATTTAAACCAAAGTATGTAATGATGATTGACAATTACTTGAACTGATTCAATAAATTGGAGTGTACCTGCTACAGCGTGTATTCATGTCTGAGTCTAAATTTGTTATATGAGCTGATTTAAGAACTGGATAACATCACCGAGGTAAAGTATGATCTCGTACTTTTCGATGACTATACCTGTTTCAAACTCCAATAATAAGAAATTATTATTAACGGCTTTAACCCTGTATTATTTCACTTTCATTTAGAACCTAAATTTCTTATTCATAATTGGTTGTATGACTGCTTAATATCTATGATATGGAAAAACTTTTTTCATGGTTCGCGCAAGATTTTCCACCGGTTTTTTTTTTTTTTTTTTGAAAAAAGAAGTTTTTTTTGCAAAATTGCACAAGTTTTCTTCCGTATTGTTGCGCGCACCTCATTTCACTTCCGCTTATAGTCAAATTATGTACATAATTGCGAATAAATGTGCAAGAATTCATGCAAATAATGCAATTATTTTCTGTAAGTAATTAAAGAGTCTTCATAATTCTCCCATCAATTACCATCAAACTTGGCTCTAGAATCTAGATTTTGTGCACAAGTTAAAGAAAAACCTAGTAATGAATCTGTTCTTGGTTCATATATGATGACATATTTATCATCGATTAAACATTGATTCTGTATGGTGAAGCTTTTTCAAGGCTAGAATCAACGTCTTTGAAGTAATCTTGAGTAAGTTGTAACATGTAAGGGTTAACCCCTATTATCTGAGGCAATGTTGAAGCAATATCTTAACTATGGTTGAGAACAGTGTATGGTCGATTGTATGGTTAGTCTGGAGTCATACTTGATAACTTATTGTTTGATGTTTTCGATTGTATATGCCCCATGTTTCAAAATGGTTTGATTGGAGTACTGATAACTTTGATCACCTCAAAAGTACATGAGGTTCTAGCTACTGAAGTTCAATACTGGTCCTTTAACTTTAGATCATACGTCCCAAATTATGTTACAATGTTACAACTTACAACTCTTTGAAATCTAGATGTTCAGATTCCGATATAAATTCGTGGTGATATTATAGAGCGTAGAGCTCAAAGTCAAAAGATCTTGGTCGTGGACGTTATCATATATAGTTTATATACAGCCCCATATAGGATTAGGTTGAGATGAAGATTTAGTCCTTCTTTTCTTTTTCATCATAAGTAACTGGTGATTTTACTCAAGTTTGAATCATGGTAACTTCTTGCTGCTTTCATATTATAATATTACGATGTCGATATATCTGAATCGTAGTTCACTCACCGATAAGTTTAACTTTAACTTCTAGTACAAACCTTTTTTCACAAAAAGTAAAAACTTCTTAAAAGATACAGTTTCAGAAATCTGATTTTTGTTTACTTTTTTTTCGTTGCTGTTGTGAAAATCGCTACCACAAAATGATCTGAAAGTGGTACGCGACACTGTGTTTCTCGCGAAACTTTTGTTGAGAAATCGATGGATTTGTTTAAAAGTAAATAGAGCATGAAATGCGTCGCTAATGACTTGCTTGAGCGATGATGTAGACGGGATTCATTAACAAGCCATTGCTTTATTATGCTATAAATATCACAGTAACCCCCTTAATCAACTTCTTTCCCTGAAACGCTATTCCAATCGTAACAAAAAAGGTTCAGTACCTAAGTTTCCCCTTTGAAATCTTAATTTTCGCCTTTTTCGCCCACTGCCTTTTTTAAGTTTTCGTAGCATCACCGGCCCCAAATCTAGACGTTCTGTCGCTATGCAACGATCTGTACGTCCGTGTTCCTTTCAATGCACGAATATCCGTAAAGGGGAACTTTCTGAAAAAAGCACCAAATTCGTTACATTTCCCAAAAAACAAATATATAAAAAAATCAACATCGCTACTTTTTTCATCCTCTTTTTCGATTTCAATCTTTTGTTTCCTCATTGAAGATTTTAATCAAGCTAAAACACACAGAGATTACACATTCTTTTGCTCTCTAGATCCATTCAATCAAATCACATTCCTTTATCAATTATCTAGAGAAGTTCCAACTCGTTGTCTTTCCTTAGAAATTTTATCCAGTGTTTTTATTTTATTCAAATCGTCAAATCGTTCAGCGCTTAATTATCAAGTCTATTATCAACAATGAAATACTCAATCATTCCTTTATTGGCCTTAGCCTCATCAGTTTTAGCTGCTCCTCAACCTCATGCGCATGAACATCATGTCCATAAACGTGACCCAGCTGTTGTTTACGTTACTCAAACTCAAGTTGCCTATGTTGATGGTAATGGTAACCCAATCACTTCAACTAGTGCTGAAACTCAAACTCAACAAGAACAAACCGAATCTGCTGCTCCAGTTGACAAGAAAGTTACCACTTTATCTTCATCATCAAGTCAAGCTCAAGCTTCATCAGCTACTACTGCTTCTTCATCCCAAGGTGGTGATGATTCTTCTTCATCTGCTTCTCAAACCTCATCTCAATCATCTGCTACTTCTTCATCAGGTAACGGTGGTTCAGGTGGTATTTCAGGTGATTTAAGTGCTTTCTCAGATCCAACTGAAGAATTTGAAGATGGTAAATACAGTTGTGATTCTTTACCAACTGGTCAAGGTGTTATTGCTTTAGATTGGTTAAACTTTGGTGGTTGGGCTTCAATCATGAACATGGATGGTGAAACCTCAAAATCTTGTCAAGATGGTTACTACTGTTCTTATGCTTGTCAAGCTGGTATGTCTAAAACTCAATGGCCATCAAACCAACCATCTGATGGTAAATCTATTGGTGGTTTATTATGTAAAAATGGTAAATTATACAAATCAAACTCTGACAAAAAATCATTATGTGAATGGGGTCAAAAATCTGCTAACGCTGTTAACAAAGGTAAAAAATCAATTGCCTTATGTCGTACTGATTATCCAGGTTCTGAAAACATGGTTGTTCCAACTGTTATTGGTGCTGGTGAATCAAAACCAATGTCTGTTGTTAATGAAGAAGGTTACTACCAATGGAAAGGTGGTTCTACTTCTGCTCAATACTATGTTAACAATGCCGGTATTTCAGTTGAAGATGGTTGTGTTTGGGGTGATGCTTCAGGTACCATTGGTAACTGGGCTCCAGTTGTCTTAGGTTCAGGTTACTCTGATGGTAAAACTTGGTTATCAATTATTCCAAATCCAAACAACAAAAATGCTCCAAACTATTCAATTAAAATCCAAGCTGAAGATGGTGCTACTTTGAACGGTGATTGTTCATACATCAATGGTAAATACTCTGGTGGTTCAGGTTCAGAATCTGATGGTTGTACAGTTTCTGTTACTGGTGGTGCTGCCAACTTTGTCTTCTATTAGACTAGAGGATAACTAAATTATCTTGATGATACAATACAGTTAAGATGTTTATTCATCAAATTTTAGAAAAAAAATTAAAATATACTATGCTATATTAATGTGTCTACACTTCGTCGTTCGTTAACTTTTGTTTGCAAATTCTCAGTCAAGATTTCCAATGTGATACCCGTCTAATAATTTATTTATCTTATTGATTATTAGAAACTTTTACAACCATTTGGATAATTCTTATTGACTTCACTTTTTAGATTCTGGTTTGTTATTAGGTCTATTACTTGTTTTTACTATTTTGGGTTAAATTATTACTTATTTTTTTATATCTATAAACATTGCTTGTATATTGGCCGGTTTTGTTATTTGTATTATTTTTATATATAAAAGTCTTTTAGAAAATTCACTAATGTAGTTTATTATCGATCACTGGGTTTGGCATTCTCAGCACTAAACAAGTCACGGCGTATAACGTCAACTATGATTACAACATTACAACCACTATTTGTATATTTTTATCACTTTCAATTGATGATCACAGACCAAAAACCAAGTCCTTAATCAATCGATTGGCTGAAAGGATGTACACAATATATGTATATAGTTATGATTTATGATCATCATCTCTTGTATGCATAAACTAGGGAGAGTTTACTTATAACATGATGAATGGCTATTAATGGTCATAACGTGATTGGGTTTGTGGAGTAATATTTAAACTTTGAATGAAACACATATATGAATCATGTTGAAACAAACCTTGATCAACAGTATATACTAGATTTCAAGCTCAAAAAGGACTTATAGGGGTTGCCTTAAGTGCAGATGCAATTAATCTCAAAGCACTATTACCCTAAAGGCTATCTAACCTCAAATATTTAATTCATATTGGACTTTTGAAGGATTCTAATTGAAGTTCTAGATTCTCTTGTTCACCTTTGAAATGATTGCAGATAAATTGGATCATTTAACGGTTCATGCTAAACGTCAAGATTTAAACGCTGCGGTACATCTTGGGATTAACCTTACCCAAATCATCAATACATACTATCATCTAGCTATCAGCTAGCCCATCGTTAATCGATGGATGTGAGTCTACAGGGTCATATATTTGTATCCTCATGATGTTGAAACTTCTGATGGCAGAATCGCTACTAGTCAAGGTCTCAATCTATAAAACACCACACTATTACAAAAGGAAATTCACATATTGAACCTTAACAATTTGATGAGGAATGGCATACAGTTGTAATTAAACCCCTAACTTCTATTGGCGGTCTTGACCGTCTTGAAAGTTTCTCATTCGCTGTATAACAGTATGAACTAGTTCGTCCTTGATGAGAAACCAAGATCTATCTAGATTCGTAAAATTATGAAAAGCTTCTACTATTTCGTTATGGTTGCATCAACGTTGCAGCATCAAATGTAAGAAGTTACCATTACCAAGCCGTCAACACATTATCCATGTTACATGTACGCTATTCGCTTGACCTATCAATGCAAGTTATTAGAACAATTTTGGTAAGGTTTAAGGAATTTCTTTAGATTAATATTGATTGATAGTTGGGCTTTAAAGACTGGGGAATTATTCACTTATTTGCATCACTAGCTAGCAAATTTACAAGAAAGTTTTAGCTGCAGCTATCAGTTAATATAATCAAATATAACAAGAGTACTTGGAACTTGGTCTGTGTATTCTGCGACTTCAACTTCCATAATATCGGAAAGCATACTCGACTAGATCGAATAGTCTTGATTAAGTCTTTAGCTTATATCAGGCTTCAGCTAAATCTTCCAATACAACCTTCAGTCCAAAGCTTTGTCAACTCGAAGAATTGAGACACATTAATCGTTTGTTATTTGATTAAAATTGAATTGCAAATCGATGAACATATAAATTTCAAAAAGATCCGCCAAATGGAGTAATCAGACTTTTGATCGGCGAAAAATGATTGTATCAAAAAGGAAATCTTTAAGATTTTTTCGCAAAAACACCTCGATTTTTACTTATTCGGGAAATTTTTCGGCACGTGACACTCCATTTTTTCATGATGCTCTGAGACTTCAGACGACGCCAAAACTTTAAGATGATGCGGTGGCTCAATGGTAGAGCTTTCGACTCCAGTTAAGGATTTGTGCAATCGAAGGGTTGCAGGTTCAATTCCTGTCCGTGTCATTCTTTATTTTATTTTTCGCTGTTGCGCTCACCAAATTCCGGGTAAACGACAGTCTAGACCCCAAATTTCAAGATGATGCGGTGGCTCAATGGTAGAGCTTTCGACTCCAGTTTGGAATTTAGTGCAATCGAAGGGTTGCAGGTTCAATTCCTGTCCGTGTCATTCTTCATTATTTTTTTGGTGTTGCCCGGGACAGCTTGCGGGTAACCCAAATGGTCGCGATCAAACAATGTTGATGTTGAAAAGAGTAATATTATGGTATTAAAAGTAATAATAAAACAGTCAAGTGAATTGTACAATAAAATAGGTTCTCTGTGTTTTTTGTTTTGTTTTGTTTTGGTTAACTAAGATTAGATTCAATATGAGTGGAAGTCCAACACCTGAAGCTAGTGAAAAAAGCAAAAGTGCTACTGATCAATTATCAGAAAATGTTGCTGAATTATATTTGGAGTCTTTCTCATTTACAACAGCTGCCGCAATTATAGGTTATGTTGATAGTATGTGATAATCCCATTAGGGTTTAACAATTTGAATTTGAAGACTAATAGTCATTTTTTATAGGAAAAGTTTGCGTTACATTGACTGATGGTCGTCATTTATTCGGTGTTTTGAGAACATTTGATCAATATGGTAAGTATTTAACATGGATTGGGAACTATAAAAACTATGTTACTAACTAGTGTGCTTTTCAAATAGGTAGTATTGTATTACAAAACACTGTGGAAAGAATATATTTATCAGATAATAGATATGGTGAAGAATATGTTGGTGTATTATTAATTCGTGGTGAAAATATTGTTATAATAGGTGATGTTGATATTGATAAAGAAGATGAACCATTATCAAGATTAACAAGAATACCATTTCCAGATGCTAAACAATTACAAAAACAATCACAAGATCAAGCACTTGTAGATGGTAAGAAGAAGACAAAAAAATTGCATAAACAAGGGTTAGTTAATGATCATGTATCTGTATTTTAATTCTAGAGAAAAGGTTTTAATGATAATGTCCATTTTTTTGAAAGTAAGCTACAACTTTTGTAGAATTTTAGAATTCGATTTCATAAGTAATAAATAATCATAAACAACATAAGCAATAACATTTCACTAAATTTTACTCAATCTTTTAGTTTTAGCATATATTTTAGAGTATAACTCATTAATATCTTTAGACTTTTTAGCTTCAGCTTTACCTAATTGATTCAAATGAGCTTCATCTGGACCATCAGCAATTCTTAACATTCTTGCACTCATAAATAATTTAGTTAATGGGGTATCTTGACTAACACCTTCAGCTCCATAAACTTGAATAGCCCAATCGATAATTTTACCCACAGTTCTTGGAGCATCTATTTTGGCTATTGATATTTCCTTCTTTGCTTTTTTACTACCAACTAAATCAATTTTCAAAGCAGCTTCCAAGACCAATAATTTGATTCTTTCTAATTCAATTCTTCTTTCAGCAACATCATTAATGAATAATTCCTTTGTAATGAACAATTTCCCAAATATTTCACGATTTGAAGCTCTTTTCAATGCTTGATAAATTGCTTCTTTCACCCATCCCAATTAATCTCATACAATGATGAATTCTACCAGGACCTAATCTACTTTGAATCAAAGTGAAACCTTCGCCTTCTTTATCTAATAAATCAAATGGAACTTTCAAATTATTAAATTGAACTTCACAATGACCATGAGGAGCATCATCAAATCCAAAAACATGTAATGGACGAATAATCTTGGCATTCCCTGTCTTCAGAGCCTTTTTAGCATCAATAACAATAACTGAATGACGTTTATATGGATTTTCAGATTCTGGGGTTGTTTTAGCCATAACTAACCAAACTGAAGTTCTTGGATCACCAGCACCTGAAGCAAACCATTTGGTACCGTTCAAAACAATTTCACGTCCTTGACTAGTTTTTTCAGCTTTCAATGAAATATTCAAAGCATTTGAGGAACTAATTCCCTTCTCAGTCATTAAAAATGCTGATCTAATTTCACCATTTAATAATGGGACTAACCATTTTGCACGTTGTTCTTCATTGGCATATTTAGCAAATAATTCCATATTACCAGTATCTGGAGCATTTGTATTTGTAGCTTCCGGTGCAACATGAGAACGACCAAGGAATTGAGCCATTAAACCATATTCTAAATTTGTAAAACCAGGACCATCTTTATAACCAGCTAAAAACATATTCCAAAGTCCTAATTTTCTAGCTTTTGCCTTCAAATCTTCAATGATTGGTGGGACTTCTGTCCATCTTTTCGTAGGATCATTTGATAATTGTTTGAAATACACTTCATCTGCTGGAATACATTCTTCTTCAACAAACTTCTTAACTTTTGCTAATGTTTCATAACCTTTTGGTGAAATCTTATCTCTAACAAGCTCTGGAATATAGGAATCAAGACTAAGTGACATTGTAAACTATTGTCTCCTTTAAAGAACGCACGGTAATAACCACAATGGTATAAAGGTATAACACAACAATGGGAATTCACAGCTTATTTATAACCAAAATATCCCAGTGTTTTCCCTATTGAGTTTATACCTTTTTCCAACAAATTTTTATGTGGAGAAAGACTACTAAGAATCCGAGGCTACTTAAGAAAAATTGAAAAATCATGTCATTTTTCAAAGTGTCATTATTAACTATGGCAAAAAAATTTATATCGCGATGAGTTTTAACTGATATTTCACTGATTTGTGTACTTTGATTCAAAGGTATTATTGAACCATTTGGTGTTTTTTACTAGAGGATTTAGCTTTTGATCAAGATGCCATTCATCGGATACAAGACTTTGATAGAAGAAGGGGACATCGTGCTCGCTTTCATCGGTAGAGACGCTATCAAACCGATCAGAATCAACAGTGAAGAAACACTAAACACTAGATATGGTGTTTTCCCTCATAAATCCATGATTGGTAAACGTTATGGTTCTCAAATAACTAGTATGAAGGGGTATGGTTTCATTCATTTACTTCAGCCAACTCCTGAATTATGGACTTTATCACTTCCGCATAGAACTCAAATTGTTTATACACCAGATTCAAGTTATATAACTCAAAGATTAGGTATAACTAATGGTTCAAGAGTTATTGAAGCTGGTACTGGTTCTGCTTCATTTTCACATTCTTTAGCTCGTACAGTACATCCACATGGTCAATTATTTACATATGAATTCCATGAATCAAGATTTTTAGAAGCTAAAAAGGAATTTGAAGAACATGATATTGATGTTGTGATAAATCATAGAGATGTTTGTAAAAATGGATTTGAAATAACAAATTATGATGGAGGTTATTTAAATGCTGATTCTATATTTTTGGATTTACCTGCACCATGGGAAGCTATACCGCATTTACCAAAAGTTATAAATAAAAATGAAAAAGTTGGTATTTGTTGTTTTAGTCCATGTATTGAACAAGTTGATAAAACAGTTAAAGCTTTAATAGAACATGGTTGGACCTCTATCGAAATGGTGGAAATCCAAGGAAGAAGATGGGAAGCTCGTCAATCTATGAAAAGAGATGTTGACGATGCAATTTTAAGATTAAAAGATGTTAAAAGACGTAAATTAGAAGGTATTGAAAGAAAAAGAAAATTTTATGCAGATAATGGTGATAATAATTCTAAAGAAACTGAAAATGATTCAAATGATGTTCGTGAAAAGAGAAAATTAGATGAAAAAGAACAAACAAAAGTTGAAAAAACTGAATTTAATCCATTTGGTAGAGGTATGAGAGTCTTGGAAGGTGATCCAAAATATAATTGGTTGAAAGTTTCTAAAAATGAAGCTGAATTGAAATCACATACTTCATATTTAACATTTGCATTCAAAGAAGCAGTTGCTAATTTATGATACACATGATGGATCATTAATAATATATACCTGTATAATAATGATATAATATAAATATCGCATTTAGGAGTTAGAAAATTCAACTACATGTAGTTTAAATGGGTCACATTTTCAAACAAAAAGATATATTTAAAGATATCAAGTACAAAGAGTCTAGACATCAGTCATGAAGACAATCTAGAAATCTCAAAATATTGAAAAATCTTATATTGGAGCTTTCAATATGTCTCTAATTTGTACAAGCACATAAGCTCTGTGCAACAATTCCTCCCTATAATTTCAGCAATTGAAACATATGAAGCGATATTTATTGTCAAATACTTTGTTTGTTGCAATAAAGGTGGCAAATCTAAATGAACAAGCCTAAGCTGTTTGCCTGCTCACTTTATCAATGAACTAATACGCAAGTTTAATCAAGAATTACTTGCCACTTGCCACTTTTCATTATATACTTGACAATCCAATTTCCAAAAATATCCCAATGAATTTCTTCTAAGATCACTAAACTTTTCAAGGAATCATATCAACTTCAACTTTGAAACCTTTTTGTTTCTCAATATAATGTTTTTTTTTTTTTCAACGTAAAACAATTCTTTATATATTCGCGACGATAATGAACAATATAAAAGTTTCCAATCAGATCTCAACCTTTGTAATCTCCATGAACCACTATCAACTTTGAACAATTAGACCAAATAACAAATGCTCAGGCTGGGAATACAAAGGCTCTCTTTGAGCCAGCAAACTCCACGCTCTTTGAATACTTCTGTACGGAAGTTGTTAGCATCTAATTACTCAACAATTATTTCAAAACCCCACGGTTATCAAATAGCACCAATTCAACCCCATTCAATAATACCATCAAGATTACCACCAATTAACAAACGTTCATTCTCTACTTCACCTTTGACAAATTTCACAAGACCCCCAAGATTCCAATCACGTCCACCTACTACATTTTCATTGATATGGCATTTAATACCTGATGGATTGAAAATGATACTAGCCATAATGGGGACCGCTTCTTTTATATTGTTTATTGCAGCTCCATTAATTGTCATTGTATTACCACCATTAGCTGTTGGTGGTTATTTCGCAATGAAGTATTGGCTGAAGAAAAGAAGAGGTGATATGGACTCCAAATGGAGGAATTTATTGAACACTCATCTAACTTATGAAGGTGCAGATTTTGATCAAATTCAATTGAAAAATTTTACATTAGAAAGATTAATCGATGCTTTTGAAACTAATGAAAATGGTATAACTGAATTTTTTAATGATAGTAAAGAGCAACATCATTCATTCCATTCAAGATTTGAATTGACTGGTATTGAAACTATAGATCAAGATTTTAGAATCAGTAAAATGGGGATTCAAGAAACTATTAGTGTTCTTTCATTTGGTCTTAAGGATAAAGATAGTAGAATGGGGAGAATTGCCACTGTGATACTAACGTTACGTCCTAAACAAATTAGAAATCTTTTAGACCAAGGACCACTTCAACAAGATGCCATAATTGAAATCAAACCATTGTTCAATGCCTTCGGGAAATCATTTATACTCAACACAAACAGCGAATTTGACTCCAAACATTCCCCTGAAATCATAGATGTACGTCCACATAACACAAGAAGATACAAATAGATCAAATCATTTAATAAAATATATATAAACTCTTGTAAATAAATGAATAATTTTTGCTTATACGCTTTACGTAATCAGGATATATTGATTATGTAATTCCCAAAATGTTTCCGCGAATTTTAGGGGAAAAGTTCCAAGTTGTTCAAGTTGATTTCAATAAAGGAAACTTATCGCTAAAGATTTGGAATTTGGTGAATTGTACAGATTAATTTAGTTCAATTGTTTTGGTTGAAACTCTTGTGCAATATATAAGATCATATTATAGAGATATTTAAAGAAGATGAGTGAACAACCGATTGGTATGTCTAAAGTTCTGCCCCGGTAGCTAAGCAATCAATATTGATTGAATTAAAGACCCGTTTTATCAACATCATCTCAATTCAAGTACTAACAACTCAATTAACTTTGTGGGAATTGATATGAGGTGGAATGACATTACAAGGATGATTTTTCACTCTTATTTCCTCGAAGTTAATGCTTTAATATAGTTCTTGATCAAGGTACAGGTTTTGTTAAAATCGGTCATGGAGGTAATAATTTCCCAGATCACACATTTCCTTCAATAGTTGGTAGACCAATATTGAGAGCAGAAGAAAGAACTGGTGATATTGAAATCAAAGATATAATGTGTGGTGACGAAGCAAGTGCTGTTCGTTCTGCTTTGCAAGTTTCTTATCCGATGGAAAATGGTATTATTAGAAATTGGGAAGATATGGAACATTTATGGGATTATGCATTTTATGAAAGATTACAAGAAGATACAACTGGTAAAAAAATCTTACTTACAGAACCTCCAATGAATCCTTTGAAAAATAGAGAAAAAATGTGTGAAGTAATGTTTGAAAAATATAATTTTGGTGGTGTTTACGTTGCAATTCAAGCTGTTTTAGCTCTATATGCTCAAGGTTTATCCTCAGGTGTTGTTGTGGATTCAGGTGATGGTGTTACACATATTGTTCCAGTTTATGAATCTGTGGTATTGAATCATTTAACTCGTAGATTAGATGTTGCAGGTAGAGATGTTACAAGACATTTAATTGATTTATTATCAAGAAGAGGTTATGCATTCAATAGAACTGCTGATTTCGAAACTGTTCGTCAAATTAAAGAAAAATTAAGTTATGTTTCTTATGATTTAGAATTAGATGCTAAATTATCTCGTGATACAACTACATTAGTGGAGAGTTATGAATTACCTGATGGTCGTGTGATTAGAGTTGGTTCTGAAAGATTTGAAGCACCAGAATGTTTATTCCAACCAAGTTTAGTTGATGTTGAACAACCAGGTGTTGGTGAATTATTATTTAACACTATTCAACAAGCAGATTTAGATATTAGATCAACTTTATTTAAAGCTATTGTTTTATCTGGTGGTTCAAGTATGTATCCAGGTTTACCATCAAGATTAGAAAAAGAATTAAAACAATTATGGTTAACAAGAGTTTTACATAATGATCCTTCAAGATTAGATAAATTTAAAGTTCGTATTGAAGATCCTCCAAGAAGAAGGCACATGGTTTTCATTGGTGGTGCTGTTTTAGCAAATATCATGGCTGATAAGGATCACATGTGGATTAATAAACAAGAATGGGAAGAACAAGGACCTGCAATCTTACAAAAATTAGGCCCAAGATAATTTTAAATTAAATTAACAATTAAATAAGTTCAAAAAAAAATGAATTGATTTTGTTAAAATGTACACTTATAATGATATGGAAAGTTTTTTTAAAAAAAGTCTGTAGCTACAAGATGGTTGACCCATTATTATAAAAAATTGTCTAATCGTTAATTCATTACTTATTATATATATGTCTAAATATAAATCATTAAAAATATTAATTATTTTGTAATTAATCAGTTTTCTTGTCTTTTTCCTGTCTATAAACTTAATTGTGAAACCCTCCTCCAAACATCATCAGCTAAAGTTCTCAGTTCATCATCGCCAATTGACGATTTTCCAACACCATAAGTAATTGCATTTTTAACCAAATCATTTATAAATTGTTCAGATACAACTCTTGGTTTCAAAAAAGGACCATCAAGAACATCTTGTGCAGTCCAACGTTCATTTGGATCACGAAGTAAACATGCTTTGATAGTTTCAATTGCAGTACCTGGAACTTTAACACCACCCAATCCCTTTTCAGGGTATGAAATCTTAACATCTGGATTCATGATTGCCAATAACCTTTGAGTTCCTTGATATCCTCCATATGGTGCACGACCATAAATCATTTGATAAATAATACAACCACATGACCATATATCTGAGGGTTTACCAACCTTCCATGTACTTTTATGATGTGACGTTGTTTCTGCTAATTGCTGATTATTATCAATTAAAGCTTCAGGTGCCATATAATTTGGTGTACCAATTTGATTTTCACGATAAATATTCATTGTATGATCAGGAACGGCATTTGCAATACCAAAATCAATGATTTTCAACATACCTTTAACAAAAAGGAAATTTGCAGGTTTCAAATCTGAATGAACAATACCAGCATCATGAACTGCTTTAACACATTTTAATACTTCATTTGCATGGAACCTAACAAATTCAATATCTAATGGCAGTTCTAATCTTTTAGTTAAAACATATGAAAGATCTAAATCACCGCATTCCATAACTAGAACTAAAGAACCTTGGCCCAAAGAGTGGTCGATTAACCTAACAACCCTTTCTTTATCCCTCAACTTTGTTAAAAGATCAATTTCACCTTTAAAACCTTTGATACTGGAATCATCAAATTCATCAAAAGAAATTTTTTTAACTGCATAAACTTTATTATTTGTTGATTTGACTTTAAAAACTTTTGAAGATCCACCTTTACCTAAAAGATCCAATTTCTCATATTGCTTACCATTAATGGACATTATTCTGGAGCTCGATCTTTGATATGATAGGTCTGGGGCTTTTAATGGTTCAACTTGCTGTACATGGTGTTCTTGGTATACTGGTTTCACTGTTTTTTCTATGTTAGCCTTCAGTGTATTCTGTGATGATATTCTTTCTTCTTGTTTTATATTTTGATTTAAATCTGACAGGGGTAACAAAGGTTTCCTGGCGACCTTTGAAGGTCTTTCTATGGAATTCAGTATATTCTTTGGCCTAATATCAATGTTTTCTTTATCTTCAAAAACTTGCACTCTTCCTTGACCAGCCTTGAAATCATTTTTAGTATCTTTGCTGCGATAATCAATGTTCTTGTGATTTTTGAAAGATGATGATGATCTCAGATCTGTATCAGCTTTGAAAAGTTTTTGTCTTGGTTCAGGTCTATAAGGAGATTTTTGATTAATATCATCTTCGATTTTGGTATATAAAGCTTCTCTTAATCTGGCGGGACTGTTCTGGGCTAATGTTTGTTTGGTTTGGTTTCTTTGTTGTTCAAAATATAGTTTTACAAGTTTTGGTAATTCATTTGATGGTAAATTGTACTTCTTAGAATATTGATATGGATTCAACCCTTCGAAATCGAATGGTGTTTTCTGTGGTGTGGATTGAAAGCTGTTTGTAGTGTATGGAGAAATCTTTCTAGCTCTTGGTGTAACAACCGGATCAATGATTTGTTTCTTTGGAAAATCCTCCTTATTTAATTGGTCATCTCTTTGATCATTTTGGTTTTCTTTGTTCTCTTCATCAGGTTCTTCAATTTTGACAATTCTTTTTGGAGGTCCAAGAGATCCTAAAGTTCTATTACGCCTTATTGAGCTTCTTAATCTTATATTACTGTGATCTGATCCAAAGCTGTTGTTATTTGAAGATCCTATATGATGTAAAGGAGTTTTTTGATGTTTCTCATTTGGTGATGAAGATGCCATGGATTGTAGATCATTATTCACATTCTTGGTGAAGATGGTTTCATGTTCTGATTGATTTGTATGTGATGTATGGTTATTAATGTTATTATTGTTGGTGAAATTGCTGCCCTGTGAGCCATTTATTATACTTGATTGTCTATTGAAATTGACCCTTTTGGGTACATGATGTTGAAACTTGAATTCACTTTGTTCAGATTCTTTATCTTTTTGAAGCAAAGCAAGAGCATAATCACTTAAAGCTGGGGGTTGATCTTCATCTTCTGAGTCTGTACTATCCAAATATGATGATTTTTTGGTATTTGAAGTTTCATTAAACGATTGACCCATGGTATCAATATTCCCATGATTTATATTAGAAGCTAGCATTGATTTATCAAACGTGTTCCTGTATTTGCTAATTCAATAATTTGTTGATTGTATGTATATGAATAATGAATTAGATCTATTTGAAGTTTGATAAGAATGTTGAGGTTGTGTTATAATATCATTAGCTAGCAGTATGATTTTTATTTGAAGTTGATAATGGCTTTAAAAAAATGGCAAAAATGTATGAATGAAATGAAATGGACAAAATGCGTGTTTTCTTCCCTCGATATCTAGTGATAATGCTTTCGTTAATGGAGCACTGAAGCTTTCTTCTATGATTATTCTTGCCCTATTGGTTTTGTCTTTGGTCTTTAAACTTTTTCGTGAAATTGCACTACCCACTATAAAACTTACAAAAGTTTATAGATTTGTATTTTTGTCTTTTGATTTTGTGTTTACTCGCGACTGCCTATTTCGGAAATTTGAAAACACAAAAACTAAGAAACCATGGCAACGATAAATACGTTTCGAGATAAAAGTGGTTAAATGACGCTCAAAATGAACTAAAAGTTAAGCAAATGGTTAACAAAGATATCTAGAATAATTAAGTCTGAAATTTTGGCCAAAAAAATAACAAATAAAGGCACAAAATCGAAAAAAGCAAAAAAAAAATGAACTTTGCTCCACGGCAGGTTCGAACTGTCGACCTTCAGATTATGAGACTGACGCTCTACCGACTGAGCTAGTGGAGCCAAAGTATAGACAAAAATGATTTTTGAAATTCCCAGTTCTGGTTGCTTGCTTACATAATAGCTTACCTAATTTCATCTTAAAATATCTTTAATTCAATATTGACATATTTTATTACCCTAAATATCACTCTCAAACAATTTTAAGCTTCATAATATTATATTTATAGTTATTATAAGCCATTTTGAAGGAAAAAAATATTTAACTTTTTTTAAATTTTGTAATTTGAAGGAAAAATAAAATTTATGTGGTTGATAATTATTTTTAATCTGAAAATTCAAAATTTAATTTTCCTTAAAATAGCATTAATGATAGATATATATCTTACTGGGGATCACATATGGTGGTGGAAATTGTTATTGAGATCTTCTTATTCTTAAAATCTATGTTAATTCAACTTTTTTAGAATGGTTCATATTAATAATTAATTATATAATCAGCTAACTAAAAGTTCAAAAGTTCCGATAAAATCCGGTGAATATGTAAATGGAAATCAATGACTACTGAGTTTTCCTGATTGATAATTCTCTTTCAACTCAAGAATGTATATTAATAACTACATGAGCTAAGGGGAATTATATAGTATCGTTGTTAACAGACGTTAACATCTTAAATTATATTTCCACTTAATGTTTTTATTACGTCCTTTTAACTTTTAAGGTTTCCTTTTAATATTTTTATTTCTGGGCAGAGGGCTGCCTAATTTTTTGAAATTTTAGACAGAGCGTTAAAGGGATCCCAGTGTAAAGTACGTAGACAGAAACAAAATAATAAAGATTAACAGTATTCAACAGTAGATCATAAAACTTTGAGAGATCCTGAGCAAAGATTTTCTTAATTTAGTTAATTTCGTTGATCCAACTTCCTACCAATTCAACATTAATTGTCAAAACTGTGGTTCTAGTTTACAAATTTCTTGCGGTTACTATTTTGTTATTTAAGATTTATATCAAATTAATTATTTAAGAGATTTAATATTACTTTAAACTTAGGGATCAAAGCTTAGAGGTTGACGGCTGCACCGCTGCACCTAAATCATTTGCTATTTTACCTAATACCGAACGTCTAGCAATAAACTCGTAACTATAGGTTAAACAGCTATTGTGACTTTTTAATGACTTACATTAGTGTATAATTTCCCCATAGTTTAGGTGGCCAGTGAACACTGAATGCTACTCCAAATAATTACTTCCTTAATTCAAGTTGCTATGGTGTAACAATTTACACTGTACAGTTGTAAATCTTGAATAACTTGGAAGTTGGTACAAAGATAAAAGGTAAAAGTGGTAGCTAAAAAATATTGGGACGTATGGTCTTGATCAATTTATAATAAATTACTTGTTCACATGTGTTGAATACTGGTTTATGTGGTGCCTTGTACTACGTGACCCCGGTAAAATAATCTTCAAAACTTAGAGCTTGATCAAATTAGGGCAAGTCAATCCTAGGATATATCCTGGATCCTGAAACTAATAATTACAATTATGGCTAAATCATAACCAAGTTACCAACCCACCAACCCCCAGATTTTATAATGTTGCTACTGTCTACTGCAATTTGAAATTTTCTAGACGGATCTGTGTAGAACATGTCACCAATTTCTTGGTCAATTCGAATGATGAGGTTGCTGATGCCTAAAACTTGAGAATGTAAACAAATTTGGAAATTCTCAGCATCATAGAATTGTAATCATACATCTAAGGTAAGATAAGTCTAGAGGTCATAGAACAGCATCCCACCGTTTATGACCGGTATTGAGCTGTACGTAAATGTGTTAAAATCTTGATATGTTTATTGTTTACCGTTCCTGAAATAGATGAAATAAAAATTTGTGTAGAATTTGATGTGATTTTTTCAGTTTTTCGCATAGGCAGGTTTAGAAATCGGGTATAAAGTACAAACTAATTACAAAGACAATAGGCGAGTCATAATAGAGAAAGGATTTAGTCAGTAAGTGTTATACACTGAGGACTGAGTTTGAAATACGTTTAATAAACCGTCCTTAGTTATTAGGCGATTGGACAGCTTAATCTGATTGTTTGATGTTCGAATTTCTTCGTTTTTAATGTTTACTTTTCGTACTTAAAATAGTTGTGGATTAAGCGAAATGCACATTTCCAAAGTACCAAGCACATACCGAAACTCAAAGGAACATGGGAAATAAGGAGGCACAAACCAAACACACAAGTGAAATTATAAACTATAAAACTAGTTGGAGATCCACTAAATCGTAGTAAAGATTTCGTTAACACGAGGTGTCTATTCCATTGTTAAATACCAGATCATAAAAAGTGCTATATATACCACTCATCGAACATCATTTTAGTGTTTGTGGTTCAAATCTGAAACACTTGTGAGAACATTGAGACAACACAACACCAACTCATAACGTTTGCTGTGCTTTGCTTTAGGAAATAACCCATTCAATTCCTACTGTTAATCAACTGGTTATTATACAAACAAACCCAACATTTCAAGCAATTTATCAGTATTAATTTATTGATTATCCAGCATTTATTTCACCAAATTTCAAGTGCATATATTTTTTTTTCTTTTAGCGCATCGCTGGGAAATTTGTTTTTTTTTTTACCTATAATTAAAAATTTGAGAAAGGAATCGTCATCAACGCCGAGTATCCACAAACAAACAATATAACAAAAGTCTTTAAAACACAGTTCAAAGCTTGCTAATTCCAAAGATCAGTGGAATAATCATCAGAACAGTTGAATCAACTAGGTTATCACAATTTAAACGCGGTTTTTAGCCTTGGTTTTCATCATTTTGATCTTTTTTGAACTATTATAAAGCGGTTAGCAAAAAGATCCCACAACAACTGATCAGGGAAAGAATAGTTGATATTATCATCAATAGCTCCTTTCAAAGATACCCAAGAGTACTCTTTACATACCATCACAATCGCTCAGCAACATCACATTTGATTTCCAAACTACGCGCTCGCTAAATCAACATTTACAAGAAAAGAATCAACCATCAACCATCAATCATAAACATCAACCATAAACATCAACAACATGTCTGTCGCATCTTCATCCCATCCTTATAGACAGCAAGTACGCCCATCACAGGATAACCAATCTACAGCAGGTCTGTTGAAGGAAACATCTGTGCTATTAGCCAACAGGGTCAAAGCTCATCAAAATAACAATATGGATAACTCATCACCTCAATATTCAAACCCAAGCTCTGGAAATACATATCAAAGTGCCACTCAAAGTATCAACAACTATGAACAGGGCGGTTTTATTCAAGATGATGTTCCAGGTGCACCACCTGTACCAACTGCTGAAGCTTATCATGAAGTTCCTCAAATTTCAGCTCAACAAGATTATCAACAACAATATCAACAAGATTATCAACAACAATACCCACAACAACAAGGTCAACAAATCAAAGAAACTTTTGTATTTGCTGATCCAAACCACCAACAACAACAACAAGTTCCATATATTCCACCTCCACCAACTATCCAATCTCATAACATGGTTAATAGTAATGGGGTTCCAACTCCAAGATCTTCAGTTGATTCAGCAGGTACAAACCAAAGACAAGCAATTTTCAATAATCATCAAGTAAATGATAGTTCAAGTACAACATCAATCCCAAGAGCTCCTGATACTCCAGTTGGTGCTCGCTCTTTCAGTTCCCCTCCAATTCAACATTTATCATTAGATTATCAAACAAGATCTGAAGAAAATCTAAGTTCAAGATCACAAAGTCCTCCAAATTCTCAAGGTTATTCAACCGTTTCATCTAAAAAACATAATAGAGCTTCAAAATCTGTTGATTTGTCACATCTTTATCTTTTGGATAGAAATGAATCTACTCATTTCACTTTAACAAATGAAAGTTTAAGTGATGTTTCACAAAATTTAATTAGACAATACCTTGGTGAAAATTCATCTTCATCTTTATTGCCAAGAATGAAAACCATAGAAATGTATCGTAAAAATGTCAAAAAATCAAATGATCCAAAAGTTTTATTTCAATATGCTCAATATATGTTACAAACTTCATTAACTATTGATAACACAAGACCAGATGCAACAAAAGAAGAAGTTGACTTAAAGAAACAATTTTTAAAAGAAGCTGTTCATTATTTGAAAAAATTATCTGATAAAGGTTATATAGATGCTCAATATTTATTAGGTGATGCTCATAGTTCAGGTGCATTGGGAAAAATTGATAATAAGGAAGCATTTAACCTTTTCCACGTTGCAGCTAAACATGGTCATGTTGAATCAGCTTATAGAACTTCTTATTGTTATGAAGAAGGTTTAGGTGTGGGCAGAGATTCAAGAAGAGCATTAGAATTTTTGAAATTTGCTGCATCTAAAAATCATCCAGCTTCAATGTATAAATTAGGTGTTTATTCATTTCATTCAAGAATGGGTCTTGCTGATAATGTCAACGTCAAGAAAAATGGTATTCAATGGTTATCAAGAGCAACTTCAAAAGCTAATGAATTAACTAATGGTGCTCCATATGAATTGGCTAAAATTAATGAAAAAGGGTTCTTAGATATTGTTATTCCAGATCGTAAATATGCAATGGAATTATATATTCAAGCTGCTTCATTAGGTCATATAAAGAGTGCTGCAATTTTGGGTAAAGCTTATGAATTAGGTGATGAAGTGATACCTCAAGATGCTGATTTATCTATTCATTATTATACACAAGCTGCTCTGGGTGGGGATGCTGAATCAATGTTATCATTATGTGCCTGGTATCTGGTTGGTAACCCACCAAATTTGGAAAAAGATGAAAAAGAAGCATTCCAATGGGCTTTAAGAGCTGCAAATCAAGGTTTACCAAAAGGCCAATTCGCTGTTGGTAACTTCTTTGAAAAAGGGTTAGGTATTGAAAAAGATTTAAATACAGCTAAACAATGGTATGAAAAAGCAGCTCTGAATCATGATGAAAGAGCTCAAAATAGATTAAACAAATTAAATGGGGTTAATATTCAATACAACAACAAAACAATAAAGAAATTAAGAAAAAAAGCATCTTCAGGATCAATTGATAAACTGGCACAAGAAGAAAAAGATAAGAATTGTATTATAATGTAAAGAAAACAAATTATTTTGACAAAAACACACAAAAAACATAATTCAATTAGGTGGATATAGAAAATGTATTAACTCAAAGGAGTTACAATTAATTTTATGAATATAAAGGATTTAAAAATATTTTTTAATATGAAATGGAATTTATTAAACTTTGTTTAATTACAAAGACGGCATAACATAATAAATCGCATAGTGACTATTTTGGATAATTATTTAATAATTTTTGAAACAATGGTTAGCTTTTAATTTTTTTTGATTTTAAACATAATACAAATATAATATTTTAATTTTTCAGAGCGTTCATTTGTAGAGCTTAATTAATAGATAATTACGTTGATATTTCTTTGAATATCGAAGGTCGTTAAAGCTCAATCATACGGCATAGCCAAAATTGAGATAAATAGACGTGTTTAATTTGGTAATTATAATTAGGAGATGGTAAACAGAAAATTAAGATCTACAACAACAATGATTCATTAATCATTCAATAAATAATAGATAATCATCTATCAAAACATTTATAATCTGTAAATCATTATATTGAAAGTAAATTCTAATTTGATCTATTTGAATGTGCGGATCCAGGTCTTGAAGTTTCTTTTCTAGTTAAAGAATTTGTACGTTTTAATTTTTCATTTGCTTCATTACTATTCTTCCTTATTATATTCAGATCTCTTGTTGATGTGGCTAAAGGTTGTTTATATGGTTTATCAGGAATTGGCATTAATGGTGAAGCTATTGACTTTTTTTCTTCTTGATCTGCATCAATCATCAATTGATCACTATGAGAACTTTCATTTGTTTTAGTTCTTTGAATTGGAATTTCCCCATAAATTTCTTCCCTATGTAATTCTTCAATTTCATCACGACTTAATGATTTTGGTAAATCTTTATGTATTTCAAATTTAGGTCTTTTAACCATTGGTTCTTCTTCATCAACCGAATATCTTATTGAAGAAATATGTTTTTGTAAACTTTGAATAGATTCTTGAGTTTTAGTTTGAAGTTGATCAAAAAATGAGTTTTGCTTGGATAAGTAATTATCAACAAGTTGTGGCTTGGTATTCTCCAACTCTTTACCAATTGTTTTAAATTCTTTAGATATACTTGCAAAAGAATCAGTGATGGTTCTTTGAAAATTATTTAATTGTGAAGTTGAAAATTCTAATGATTGACCATTGATTTCTTTTAATTTTTGTGCATGATTGTTCAAGCTGTCCATGTTAGAGTCCAAATTAGATATTGTGTATTCAACCTTGGATTCCTGGCTTTGTTTGTTTGTTTCAATATTACTCATTATTGTTCTTGTATTATTCTGTAAATCACCATTATAGCCTTCTAAACTATTACTGAATTGAGTTTTTTGTTCATTCAAATGTTCTTGAAATTTAGTTTGATTTTGGAGCCAATTTTCACTAATGAATTTATCAAAGTTGTAGGTAAAGTCAGTTTGTTTGGAAGCAATATGTTCAAGTTCAGGTTTAATATGGTCTAGCTCATCTTCAACCCTCTTATTTCTGTCTTCATCATAAGAGTCAATCAATGATGTGATTTTCTCTAGTAGTTGTTGTTTTTCAAATTTAGACTTCTTTCTTTCACTCTCTTTGAAATTTTCTAGTTTGATTGTTTGATGTTTGATCATATCAACATATTTTGTTTGGTGCTCTAAAAGTTTATTTTTCAAATCTATAATTTCAGCTGATTGAACCTCTAGTTGTGTTTGAACAGTTTCAAATGATGTTTTAACTTGTTGGTTAATCTTTTCAAAGCATAATGAAACCAATTTCTCAAATGCAGATAGATCTGAAAGTAAAGACTGTGATGACTTGGAGTTTTCTAATTTAAATTCATCTAATTCAGATATAATTTGTGATTTGATTTCCTGTTTGACATGTTCAATTTGATCAATTTCTTTAGTTGTTAGAGAGCTTTTATCAACAATGGATCTTATCAATTCATCAACATTGATGACAAAGTTTGATTTCACTTGCTCAATATCTTGACGTTTAGACTTGATTTTTGACTGTTGAGAATGAACCATTTTTTCGAAATTATCAGTTAATATATTTGACAATTTCGTACTGTCTTTATGGAATTGGCTTATAACTAGATTGACACCTTCAGATTTTTTCACTAGTTCTTCTTTTTCAACGTCTAAAGTTTCAACATTTTGTTTTTCAAGCTTAGATTTATGATCAACTCTTGAATATAACATTTCTTTTTCTTGAATCACATCTTCCAATAACCCAGTTAAAGATACACCGATCTTATGAAGTTCATTTTCTGTAGTTCTATATTCTTCACTAACAAATGTCTCAAATCTATGTTGCTCTTCACTTTTATTCAATTTTTCAGTTGTATCTATCAATGATTTATTTAATTGTTCATTTTGTTGTTTTGAGTCTTCAAGGTCACGTTCTGCTTTATTAATTTGTTCTAATTGAGCTTCAAAATTTGTTTTAAATTTCTTGATTTGTTCCTCAAGAACATCCATTCTTAATTTTTGTTCATCAACTTGAATTCTTCGACTTTCACTTTCAGCTGTGACTTTTTGCCAATTTTCCTCAGTAACATATATACCATTCTTAGATCTAGTAGCATTTAAATCATTTCTAAGTCTTTCTATTTCCTGTACATATTCTTTGATAAGCATCTTTTTAGACATACTTGAATTTACTTGAGGTTTATTTTTAATATTTTTGGCTCTATTAGCGTATTCTAAAGTACTTATGGTTTCTTCTAATGAAACTTTTGCTGGTGAAATTGTTGCAATGATACATGTTTTTGTTCTACCACCTAATGAATCTTGTAATAATCTTGTAAGTTTAGATTCCCTGTATGGTATATGAGGCGATTGATCAACAAGTGCATTAATAACACGACCAAGGGTCAAAAGACTTTGATTAATCATACCTGCTTCTCTTGCACGTTTATTTTCAGCACCTGATCTATTGATATTTTCTGAACCTGCCAAATCAACTAAATTCAATTTACCAATTTTAAGATATTCCTCTCCGGAGACTGGATCAACTTCTTTCATATGAACAGTTATAGTGAAAACAGTATGTGATCTTGAAGATAAATCATTACATTGTGTGGCTGCAACTTGACGTTTATATGAACCATCAGCAAGAACTTTCATACCTTCAACAGCTGATTTGACATAAATTTCTTCCATACCTTGTACCATGATGGATTTCTTATTTGGTTCTTCAAATATTCTAACTTTACGATCACTATTTGTTTCATTATTTAATAAATCTCTTAATTCTTCATTATATAATTCAATGAATGAAATTTTTACAGAAAAATCAGGATTTTTTTCCAAATGGTTGAATAATTGAGTTAATGTTCTTGGTATTATACCGGCATTTTCTGATAATTGTGTACCACTCATTTCAATATCACCACTCATTGTATATGTTTTACCTGTACCTGTTTGACCATAAGCGAAAACAGTACAGTTATAACCTTGAAGCATTTCTTCCAAAACACCACTTGCAATACCATCATAAACCATTTCTTGATCACTTTCAGCACCAAATACTCTATCAAATGTATATGTCTTATTACTTACAGACATTGGTCCTGTTTGTAAAACAATTTCTTTACCCATATGACCCATAGTTGATACCACAACTCCACTATTCTCTTTGATTTCTCTGTCATTTCTAGATCTGCATCTGACATAAACCGATATATGTGATTCTTCTTTACCATCAACATCACTTTTTCTCTTACTAGTAGTTGATTGTTTTGGTTTGGTAAAAGAACCTGAAGAACTATTTGGAGGATGAGCTATAGAAGAGCGCTTTTTTGACACATCTGAAGCTCTTGACCTAGCGGGAGCTAATGATGTCCTCATACCGGGTCTAATTGAATTCCTATCTGACATCTTTAGCACAGCAATTCTTATCTTTCTATTGTCTTCAGTTTTCCTTCGTTGAAGAATCTTATTTACTTTTGAGATCTGTATCTCTCAAATATTAATGTTTTGATTTTTTGTTTACATATTTTTCTGGTACATAAAGCATTTTATCGCGATTTCAGATCTCCATGACAACAATTTATAAAAGAAATACTAGAAATCGTATACTAATCTATTGTTCAATTCAATCGATTTAAAAATCATTTGAATAGTTTATAGATGTGGTTTTATATATAAGTATTAACTTTTTAGAACTAAATACCATTATCATTCTTATTTTATTGCTTACTTGCCACATTTTCTTCCAAATCGGGTAATTTTCAGGCACCTGACTTTGCGATATGTGGTTTTAACCAATCTCTTTGGCTGATGCATTCATAATTTATACCCATGGGTTTTGAAATATTTTTCTAATCTATTCTAGTCATTCTATTGTTTAAATTGAGTTTAGAATTAATCAATTGATACAATATTTACAAAGATGTTTACTCGTTCAATCTTAAGAACCACTGCTTCAGTTGCAAGAACTACCCGTGTTGCTCCAAGAGCCACTCCAATCTTCACCAGAGGTGTTAGAACTTTTAAACAAGAAGATCAACCAAGATTAAGAATCGGTTCAGTTGCTCCAAATTTTAAAACTCAAACTACTCAAGGTCCAATTGATTTCCATGAATACGTTGGTGATTCATGGGTTGTTTTCTTTTCACATCCAGCTGATTTTACCCCAGTTTGTACCACTGAATTAGGTGCTTTTGCTGCTTTACAAGAAGAATTCACCAAGAGAAACACTAAATTAATTGGTTTATCTGCAGAAGGTTTAGAATCACATAACGCATGGGTTAAAGATATCGAAGAAGTTTCTAAATTAGACAAATTTTCATTCCCAATCATTGCTGATACCGATAAAGAAGTTTCATTCTTATACGATATGGTTGATGAAGAAGGTTTCAAAAACTTGAATGGTGGTATTGTCCAAACTATTAGATCAGTTTATGTTATTGATCCAAGTAAAAAAATCAGAATTTCATTCACTTACCCACCATCAGTTGGTCGTAACTCTGCTGAAGTTTTAAGAGTTATTGATGCTTTACAATTAACCGAAAAAAGAGGTGTTGTTACTCCAATTGACTGGACTGAAGGTAAAGATGTTATTATCCCACCAAGTGTCACTGATGAAGCTGCTAAAGAAAAATTCGGTGATTTCACTAAAGTTAAACCATACTTACGTTTCACCAAAGCTTAGATATAATATATATAGTCTTTGAAACTGAATGGAGAAATTAGCCGTTTTTCCTCCACGGTGATTTCTTTGCTTATACACAATATGATATTCTTCTGATATTCATGTAGAATAAAACCATACACTGTGCCCTTTCTGGTTGGATGCTTTAATTAGATTTTATGCCATTTTCATGTCAAAATTTCAAATTTCCCCTATGTAAATATTTTTGTTCGCACTGCAAAATTTAAATCCTGGAGGAAAAATTGTTTTTGGAAATACTAAGAGAAAAAACCAATTTACACTACAAAGCTTTTACCTAAATCCCAAACACAACTCAACAACAAAGAGAAACTCCTAGTAAAAGAGAGTAAAGAGGTATTCATCCAGCTAGAATCATACACAGAGACGCGTTTGATGATATTTGAACAGAGAAGACTGTGATTTCGCGTTGCCGCTTTTAACCAATATTTTGAACCAATAGTTGAAGAGCCAAAGCCAAAGGACATAAGACAAAGGCATCATCAACACAAGGAATAGATCACAAATCAAACAGAACATCAACACAATATGAGTGACAACTTCACCGACACAAACAAGTACGCCACGTCACTGAACTTGGGCAGATCAAACAGCCAGGATAACACTTCAAGAAGTAATAGTATTGGTGGGATACCTGTCAACCAATTCAACAATGGAGCTGAAGTGCATCAAGGATTCAATAACCAACACCAAGCTCAAACGAGAAACTATCCACCTATTCAACCATCTCCAGGGCTTCCATCATTGGCCCCTTTGAGACCCCTAGCTCAAGCTCCACCACATCATCAAAGATCAGCTTCACCTCAACCAATACAACCAAATCAACAACAACAACAACCTTCACCCAAACCCAATACAACTTCAACAGCCTCCGCACCTAAGAAAAGAGCTAATAATTCTAATGAAACTAAGAGTAGAAAGAAACAGAATTCACAGGATGAAAAGAACAAGCTAAACACTTTAGCAAATTTAGCAGTTAGCCCGACCCCTGATGCATCACAACCAGGAAATTCTAAAACCCAATCTACATCACAATCTAATTCACAAGCCCATCAACCCGCAGGTCATCGTCCAGTCACATCATGTACACACTGTCGTCAACATAAGATCAAATGTAATGCTTCAGAAAGATTCCCAGCTCCTTGTCAACGATGTGAAAAGATGGGATTAACTTGTGAGATTGATCCACAATTTAGACCTAAAAAGGGTAGTCAAATACAAAGTTTGCGTAATGATGTTGATGAATTGAAACTGAAGATTGAATATTTACAAAGAAATGAATCATTAATTGCTCAAGCTTTAGCTAACCAACAACAAGTTAGTAATTTCCCAAGAAATGAACATGCTCCATCAGTTAGTTCACCATTAAACTCCATGAGTGGTGATTCACCACCAAGTGGATCAACTTCTTTGAAAACTATTTTGAAAAGAGATCCTCATTTATTAGTTGATAGAAGAAATTCACAACCTGGTTCAATACAGAGTAATTCTCCAAGTTCAGCTCAACAGTTATTGAATGATTCAGCTCCAACAAATAGTGACCATTCCAAAGATCTTCCACCTTTCCTCGAAATGTCAGTTAGAGCTAACACACCAGTTCCAGAAGATCATATAGCCTCACCACATTCACAAAGATCAACTGCATCAAGTAATATAACGGAATTTATACTTGGTGATGTTAATATACCTTTGAAAAAAGCTAATGAATTACATGAAAGATTTATGCAAGTTTATAATCCATTTTTCCCAATTATGCATTCAAATAATGCATCTGAATTATATTCTCAATCACAATTATTATTCTGGGTTGTTTGTTTAACTGCATGTTCATCAGATCCAGAGCCAACATTATACAATCAATTATCATCATTAATCAAACAATTAGCAATTGAAACTTGTTGGATTCGTACACCAAGATCAACACATATTGCACAAGCTTTATTAATATTATGTATGTGGCCTTTGCCTAATCAAAAAGTTTTGGATGATTGTTCATATAGATTTGTTGGACTTGCCAAAAGCCTAGGTTATCAATTAGGTTTACATAGAGGGAAATTTATAAGTGAATTTTCTAGAACTCAAGTTGCATTACCAGATGCTGAAAAATGGAGAACAAGATCATGGTTAGGTATTTTCTTTGCAGAACAATTTTGGGCTTCACAATTAGGTTTACCACCATCTTTACAAACTGATTATTTAATTGAAAATGCAAGAATTGATAAAAATTTACCAAAAAATTTTAGATCATTAATTTCATTATCTATATTTCAAGCTAAATTAGTCAATGTTATGGGTTCAAGTGTTACAAGTCCCGATGGATTAATGGAAGCAAGAAATAGAGCAGGTTCATTAGCAATTCTTGAAAGAGAATTAGAAAGACTTGTTTTCAAATTAGAAATTGATGATATTTGGGTTGAAATTTATTATTTATATGTTAAATTAACAATTTGTTGTTTTGCATTTTTACCAGAAACTCCAACAGAAGATCAAACAAAATATGTTACACAAGCTTATTTATCAGCAACAAGAATCATTACAAACGTTTCAAAGATTTTAGAGACTAAAGCATTAATTGAATTACCAATTTATATAAGACAAAGTGTTTCATATTCAGCATTTATATTATTTAAATTACATTTAACACCATTATTACTGGAAAAATATATTGATTCTGCAAGACAATCTATTGTTACAGTTCATAGATTATTTAGAAATCAACTATCGGCATGGAAAGATGTTGAAAATGATATATCAAGAACTGCACAAGTTTTAGAAAAATTGAATTTTGTCCTATATACACACCCAGAATTATATACTAAAAATGATGGTATTATAACAAGAATGAGATCACATTTAACAGGATCATTATTTTATGATTTAGTTTGGTGTATTCATGAAGCAAGAAGAAGAACGTTAGAAGAACAAAAAAATGGTAAAACTCCAACAAGACCACAAATTCAACAACAACAGCAACAAGATGGTGATCGTAAAAAACCAATTCCATTGCCATTTTATAATCAAATTAATAGAGATGATTTCCAAACTATTACTACTACAACACCAGGTGGTACAACAATTACAACATTAGTTCCAACTGAAAATGCAATGACAACTGCTACTGCAAATGCCACAGCTGCAGGGCTTTCTAAACCAAAAGATATTAAAGGTATTCCAGTTAATATGTTGGATTCAACAGGTTCAATTGCAGCATCTGCACTTGGGAATAGTAATATAGCATCATTGAATAATTCATCATCAAATTTACAAGATTTAAGAAGAGTTGTTCAAAAAAATAATGCAAATGTTTTAAATAATAATAATAATAGTACTAATAATATTTCATCCTTATTAACAAATGATTCAAATTCAATTTTAAATAATGGTAATCAATCACCAAATAGATTTAGAGACTCACAATCACCGAATGGAGCAACACCAACAGCAAATTCAAATCAATATCCAGTTAATTTTGATTTTAGTGGAGTTCAAAATGTTCCATCACCAAGTAATCCAAATTTTGGAAATGGGTTTGATATTAATAATCCTTCAAATTCAAATGAAGGAATTACAAAAGAAGATTTTAATTCATTTTTCCAACAACAAAGTGCAGGTTGGATGGAAGGTAATGATGATGTTTTAGGTTGGTTTGATATGAATATGGCACCTGAATTTTAAATATGTATTTATGGGGTATTTTATCATGTGTTTAAAGGATTTTTAATTTTTAATGAATATTGTAATTTTATCAAAAATTGGATGTAGTTTTATAATAGATGTACATATATTAAAAAACAAAATTAGGGTATAAGAAACAAGAAAAACAAACATTGAAAAGAACTGAAAAAGGCCCAAGGGAACACCATATGTTGATATATATATAAATATTGATTTTTTTTTTCGTTTTTCATTCGAATTATTATGAATATAAGATTATTCATCATCATCTTTTGGATCACCAATACCATCTTCATAAATTGCAAAAACAGTTTCAGATTCAGGTAAACATGGAGAATCATAAATTTTACAAATTCTTTGTTCACCTTTACCTTTTTTCAAACTTAATCTTGTTGTTGAAGAATGAGCAATAATATTACCACCAATTGGTTTTTTAGGATCAGGATTAAACATCATACCACCATCAACTTGAGCAACAACTTGATTTGTTATAACCACAGCAATACCAAATTCATCAGCTAATCTTTGTAAAGTTCTCATATATTTTGCAACATGCATTTGTCTTGCACTTAATTCACCTCTACCAGCAAAATCAGTTCTATATAACGCCATTATAGAATCAACAATTAAAAGTGAAAATCTTGATTCAGACATCATTGCAGCAGCTTGATTTAATAATTGTAATTGATGATCAGCATTATAAGCTCTTGCATAAGCAACATTATCTAAAGCATCATCTTCATTAAGACCATATCTTCTTGCAATAGAGACTAATCTAACAGGTCTAAAAGTCCCCTCTGTATCGATATAAAGACATTTACCTTCACCACCACCCATATCAATAGGTAATTGACAAGTAACAGCTAAAGTATGACATAATTGAGATTTACCAGTTCTAAATTCACCAAATAATTCAGTTATTGAACCTGTTTCAATACCACCACCAAGTAATGTATCTAATTGTTTTGAACCAGTAGTCAAGCAAATCAATTCACTTCTTCTATGATGGAATTCAGAAGCAGTTGTAAACCCCATTGGAACTAATTTTGAAGCTTCAGCTAATAATTTATCAGATTTAGCTTCAGATATACCTTTAACAGTTAACAAAGCTCTTTTTGGAGTATAAGCAATAGCTTCCACAGTGTTATAACCAGCTTCCATTAGTTTTCTAATATCACCACCAGTGATCCCATTTCCTTCTAATTTGGTGATTGGAATTGGACCATAAAGATCATCTTCATCTTCCACATCTTGTTGTTGATGTTCCTGTTGAGGATCCTGTGATTGTGATTGTTGATGTTCCCCCTCTGTCATTGTACCGCTGTGAATCTATATGATCGAAACCTTTTCCTAATTATCAACAGATCCAAAGATTTTGCCACTTTGAAGTTTATTACCAAACAGAAAAAAAATTGTTTTTGTTTTGATTTTGAAAACGCTACGCGTGAAGAATTGCACGAAAACACGAAACTCACGTGACTGGCGCGACAATAGTGTGCAATTGAGCGCAAAAGTTACCGGATGTAGCAGCCGATGGCCTTTGCAGGATTACCCAGTGCATCAATTAGCAGATCCAATATTGATAGATTACTATGTACGGTAATAAGTGTAAAACATTTGCGAAAAACAACGAAAATACACGAAAATACACGAAAAAGATCAACAGTGGATATAAAAGATTGCACTTTTTAACGAATAAAGAATCATACCATAATGACATTTTAAAAGCATCAAAAATTCAAAAATCAAGATCATTTCAGTACAAGAGAACACGGGAGTATCTTTGATTTCCTGACGTTGATCCAAGGGCTTGTTCTTTATATCTTTGTGTACTTTCTGCGTAGAACCATACTTCTTTTTCGTTTGTGATGTATCAATTTCCCACCGAGACAACAAACTGACGGGAAAAAGATCTTCAATTAAAATGGAAATTAATTAGAGTTGGAAATATTAACTTAATCTGAGCTTTTAATTTTAATTTGAAACAAAAAGTTCAATCAAGAAAGTTGTTTCCATTGAACTTTCCAATTAATAATCACTATGGATACAATAAATCAGTTACAGAATGTGAGTAATGGCCACTTGTCTTTGCAACTCCTTACAGATTTTTTTTTTACCTCAAAGGAGCTATTTCATTATTTAACCTTTAAAGCATCGCGTTAAAGTTTTGGCTTAATTAATACCCATAATAAAGACCGCCTTTGGTAAATAAGGTGATTCAAGGATTCAAAATTCAAAATTAAATAATAATTCACTTGCTCTGTTCAAAAGGTTTTTTTATTTTTCATTTCTCCTAACTACTTGTCAATCATTAGGGAGTTTTTTTTTTGCAAAGACTATAATAATATTATAATAAAGATTTTATTCTTAGATCTCAAAACTAACACAGATTATCTTAGACAACTTATCAATTTTATGATACTTCAGAAACTATAAGTTCTGACGATTTAAGAAATTTCTTACAATCACAACTTGAAAAATTCGATATGCAAACTGTTAGAACAACACCTCCAACTTCTCCAATATTAAAACCTTCACCAAATATAACAAATATAAATGAAATATTTAACTCAAATTCATTAATGTCAAATTCAACAACTTCTTTATTATCAAAACGTTTAAATTATGATGTTGCAAATGATATAATAACTGAAGAAGTTGAAGATGATGAAGATCCTTTAAGTTCAATATCTCCAATCATTTTAACAAAAGCAAGATCAATAGCTCAAGAAATTTATAATCAAACTTATACAAAGATTGCTCAAGATCAATATGCTGCATTCTTGGGTACTTCAAAACAGGAATCAATAGCTACATGTATTGAATTTATGTCATTTTTCGAACCATGGCCAAATTCATTAATTGGTTCACTTAGATTACTTTGTTCAAAATTATATTTATTAGGTGAATCAACTCAAATTGATCAAATATTGGAAATTTTCAGTAAAAGTTGGTTTAAATGTAATAAAGATAATTATATTGGTGATTATAAAGCTATTCATATTGTTTGTTTTTCATTATTTATCTTAAATTCAGATTTACATAATGAACAAAATTTAGAGACAAAATTTACCAAATCAGAATTTGTTGAAAATACAATTGCAGCTATTGAAGAAGATTTAACTGTTAAAATCTATAATTATACAACACTTGAATCTCAATTAAGAATTTTTTATGATTCAATTGAATCTGAACAATTAGAAATTTTAAAAGTACCTAAAAAATTAAATGGTAGAAGAAATATTTCAAATTCTTCAAGTAATTCATCATCTGCATCAACAAAAAGAGTAACATCAATTTCAAATATTTCAATAAAATCAAGTCGAAATTCTAAAAGATATTCATCTATTGGTTCTTCAATTTTCATTGATCGTGAAACTACATTAACAGATTCAATGGATTTAAATTATGAAGTTGATTATAAAAAAGATAATACAGATGATCAACTTGAAAAATTAGGTCCACCATGGCTTATTGAAGGTTTATTAAAATGTGAAACTAATCATAATTTAAAACAAAAAAGACAAAATTCTAAAAATTGGTTTTTCAAATTAACTCATGGAAATAATATAATATCATCAGAATTAGATATTTATAATGTTAAAGATTGGAAACAAAACATTGTTATAATATCAAAAGGTTTATTAAAACAATATTCATTTGGATCATCTTCAGATAGGAAAAATTTCATGAAGACAAAATCTGATAAATATGTTAATACAGTAACAACTTATAATTTATATTCTGCAGTTGCTTCATTAGTTGAAGATAATGTTATATCAAATGCAGATAACAATGCAAATGGAGTTGCATGGGTTTTAACAGTACCCAATTTATTAACAGATGATTCTAATAATAATAAAAAAAGTAATAATCAAAAAGATCAATCAAATTCATCAAATTCATATTCATCAAGTTTAAATCAAGATAAAAAAATTGTTTATTATGCATCAAGTTTAGAAATTGCACAAAGTTTTATTGAAACTTGTAATTTTTGGGCTGCAAGAATAACATCAATCCCAACAACTGAAGAAAGTATAGTAACAAATGCAGAATATGGATGGAGTGATGAAATTTTATCAAGATCAAAACCAATAAATCAAGTTAATAATTTACAAAAATGGGAAAAAATCATATCAATTGAAAGTTCATTTATACCATCATCATATGAATTACAAGAACAATTTGAAAATTTACAAAAATATATTAATCATTTAGAAAATTTAATTGATAATCATAATGGATTAAAACCAATATTAGAAAAAATTTGGGGTAATAATGAAGATTTAGTTGATCAATATGATTTGGTTATAAGTAATTGGAATGAAAAATATGTTTATATTTATAGACAACATCAAAAATTTAAAACTTATTTAGATAGTTTAGCATTTGCTTTATCATTTAGAGCTACAAAGATATAAAGTCATTTTGGGATCGGGTTTTTTAGAAAACATTTATACATACATATAACACTGGGTTATATATTTTATTTCTAATTACATAGTATTAATTCAAACGTTTAATTTCATTTCTTTGTGTTAAAACATAAGTAGAAATCAGAGCTTATATGTAAAATACAAAATTCGCGAATTCTTATAAATTTCCGCGAATTCATACAATTGATTTCAAAAGTACCAAAATGGCCAAAATGATACTTAACTAAAGAGATCTTATTCAACACAAAACATCAATTGAAACAAATTAATTGAGGTATATTCTCAGGTGTTTATAGTTGAAAAGAAGGAATAAGAAGAAGATACACAACACAGAATGTCAGATCCAAGTTCAATTAATGGTATGTGTGAAATTATAAAATTGGAACCTTGGGGGCAAATATCTATATGAATTGAAATGTTGAAGAAATTCAGAGCGTCACGAACAACAAAGACAATGTTATAAATGGGCTACTCCACTGGTATCAATTAACCCTTAAGTGATGTTGTTATCATCTAATACTAACCTTTTTCTCTTTATAGGTGGTTCCGTGGTGGCAATGGTTGGTAAAGATTGTGTTGCCATTGCATCAGATTTACGTCTTGGTAATCAATCATTAGGTCTTTCAAATAAGTTTGAAAAAGTTTATAATTATGGTCATGTTTATCTTGGATTAACAGGATTAGCAACAGATGCTATAACATTATCTGAAGTTTTCAGATATAAAACAAATTTATATAAATTAAGAGAAGAAAGACAAATTGAACCTGAATCATTTGCAAATTTAGTTAGTTCCACATTATATGAAAAAAGATTTGGTCCTTATTTCATTGGTCCAGTTGTTGCTGGTATTAATTCTATAACTTCAAAACCTTTTATTTGTGGATTTGATTTAATTGGATGTATTGATTTTGCTAAAGATTTTATAGTTAGTGGTACAGCAACTGATCAATTATATGGTATGTGTGAATCACTTTATGAACCAGATTTAGAACCAGAAGATTTATTTGAAACTATTTCTCAAGCTTTATTAAATGCCGCTGATCGTGATGCTTTATCAGGTTGGGGTGGTGTTGTATATATTATTACAAAAGATAAAGTTGTTAAAAGATATTTGAAATCTCGTCAAGATTAGGAAGTATAGCTTTTGGAAATGATATAATGTAATTTTAGAAGATTGAAAGATCAGTTTTAGTGGTTTACATGTAGTTTTTAATTCCCAATATATTATCCATCTATTAACAAAAATATAACCCATAATTTCATAACTATTTACATTAATGAAGTTCAATTCATAAAAACACCATATCTATATAACATCTAATCACCTCTTTTAGCTTGTTCTCTTTTTAAAATTTTCTTTAAAAATTCATCTTCACCATATTCTTCTTCATTAGTTTTTTTCCATTTTTCTTGAATACCTTTTTGTTTTTCCTTTGTTTTCAAAATTAATTGTTTTTGTTGTTCCATTCTAGCTTCATGTAAACAAGCTGATAATGCTTCTTTTTGATTATTACATTTCCCAAACAATCTATCAGAAAATCCACCATTATGACAATTTTCCAAAGCTTCAACTAATTCATAACAAGCTAAAATGGTTAATAATAGGTCTTTTAAAGAGGTTTTTTTTCCAAAATAATAGTTAGAATCACTTACAGATGAATCTTGGGGAATGGACTTGTGGATGCATCTTTAATAACTTCAAAATATTGTGTTTAACCTATTCAATTCAAATCCCATAATGGTATTTCTTATTAATTTTGATTTTTTTGTATGGTAATCAAAAGAAAAGCTCCAGATCCGACTCATTTTTAAGATCACTTACGAGGGCATTTGAGAATCTCGAAACTCAAATAAGTTCAAATTAAACAGGAGGATACAAGTTTTTATGAAAGATTGTCACAGTTTATCACAGTTTATACAATGTTTTCATGGTTCCAGAGTAAGAAGACTGAGCCAGAGGTCCATGTTGACTATGGGAAGCTTGTCAGAGAGAAACATGAACAGTTTCGTCAAAGAAGAAGAACCCAAATGATGTATTTCTTTGGTGCTACTGCTGCTACATTAGTTTTTTCAAGATTAGCTTATAGAGGTGTTCAAGCTCGTAGATGTGAGTATAATTAGCGTGTGTTCAGCTGGGTTCATAGAGTACTAACATGTCATATAGATGTTCCTGGATTGTTCAACTCCAATCATGTCCCACCTCCATTTTCATTCCAACAAGATGCCATATCGGCCATTGCATTATCAACAGTTCTTTCAGTATCTTCATTCTCAATGGGTGTCACAGGTGTTGCATGGACATGGGATGTCTCTAATGTGAAAGAATTCACTTATAAATTAAAACAAAAATTAGGAGGTGTTGAAAGTGAAAAGCAAATAAGTGAAACCAAATTAGATGATGAATCTGTCACTTTACAAGATGCTATCAATGCTTTTATAAATGGTGAAGGATTCGAAGATGATCCAGTGGAAACAGCTCCATTGAAACAATAAAATCACTTGTAAATAAGTTCTTGTATATATATAAAACATTTTAAAGAAAATACTAAATTAGTTAAAAATTTGTAGGATTCTGTCAAAATTTTGCGTGAAGTTATTTTGAACGTGTCTTTAATATAAACTTTTCCACACTTTTCTAGTAAAACCACCATCAACAAGATCATCAACACACCAAACAAACAGTGGTCTCTTGGACAAAGGTGTTTGTGGATTATGAGTGCTCCATATAACCTATCATCGTCACAGGTATTGGACGATTTGGATGTTGACTTCCAAAAAGGTCTTTCCTCGTTAGTTGCTGAAGAACGTTTTGTTAAATTTGGTCCAAATGCTCTACCAAAAGAAAACGGTACACCTATTTGGAAATTAATTTTAGGTCAATTTGAAGATCAATTGACTTTGATCCTTTTGGGTTCTGCTGTGGTATCATTTGGGCTAGCGGTTAGTGAAGGTGATTTGACTTGGACTAGTTTAATTGATCCTATTGTTATCTTGACAATTTTAATCTTAAACGCCATTGTTGGTGTTCAACAAGAAAGTTCTGCTGAAGCTGCTATCACTGCATTGAATGAATACTCCTCATCTGATGTTAAAGTCCTACGTAATGGGAAATTAATTCATGTTAAACAAGAATTTTTAGTTCCTGGTGATATTATTGATTTATCAATTGGTGATATTGTTCCAGCAGATGCAAGAATTGTTAAAATTTTCTCTCAAACTTTAAGAGTTGATCAATCAATTTTAACTGGTGAAAGTGAATCTGTATTGAAAGATACTGAACCAATTCAAATTGAAAATGCTGTGAAACAAGAACAATTAAATGTTGTTTTCTCTGGTACTACTATTGTATCAGGTCACGCAAGAGCTGTTGTTATTCTTACTGGTGAAAAAACTGCAATTGGTGATATTTATACTGATATTTCATCCCAAATTTCTCAACCAACTCCATTAAAAGAGAAATTAGATGATTTCGGTGATTTATTAGCTAAATTTATTACAGTTATTTGTATTGCTGTTTGGGTTATTAATGTCAATAATTTTAATGATCCAGCTCATGGTGGTTATATTAAAGGTGCAATTTATTATTTCAAAATTGCTGTTGCATTAGCAGTGGCTGCTATCCCTGAGGGGTTATCTGTCGTTATTACTACATGTTTAGCATTAGGTACTAAGAAAATGGCAAAACAAAATGCAATTGTTAGAAGTTTATCAAGTGTGGAAACTTTGGGTTCAACAAATGTTATATGTTCAGATAAAACTGGTACATTAACAACAAATCAAATGGTTGTTCATAATTTTGTTTTTTTCAAGAATCAAAATGAATTATCAAATTTAACAATCTCTGGTCATTCATTTGAACCTCAAGGTACTGTTGTTGATGAAGATGGTAATTTAATTGAATTACCTGATTCAAAATATCCACTATTACATAAAGTTTCTCAAGTTAGTGCTATTTGTAACGATGCAAATGTTATTCAGATCGATCAAACTAATTATAAAAATGTTGGTGAACCAACTGAAGCTGCATTGAAAATCTTAGTTGAAAAATTAGCTGGTTCTGCAACTCAATCAATTGGTTCAAATGTTATTACTCCAGTTTCAGATCTTTATAACAAACAATATCCACGTTTAGCAACTTATGAATTCACTAGAGATCGTAAAAGTATGTCAGTATTGGTACAAACTGGTGATAATAAAGCTGAATTATTAGTTAAAGGTGCCCCAGAAAATATCATTTCAAGATCAACAAATTATTTAAATCAATCTAATGGATCACTTAGAGTTGATAGATTAACAAATGAATACCGTATTGAATTATTGAGAACAGTGGAACAATTTGCAAGTGAAGGTTATCGTATAATTGCATTAGCTTATAGTGAAGATTTTGATAAAAATTTAGCTAAATCTGCAACATCAAGTCAAGATTATGAACAATTAGAATCAAACTTAACATTAATTGGATTTGCTGCTTTAATTGATCCACCACGTCCAGAAGTTGCTCAATCAATAAAAGAATGTAAAGATGCAGGCATTAGAGTTGTTGTTATAACTGGTGATAGTCCAATTACAGCTGAAAATATTGCCAAACAAATTGGAATTTTTAAAGAAGATGAAGATACTAAAGGTTTAATTTTAACAGGTAGAGAATTCATTAATCTTTCTGATGAAGCTAAATTAGAAGCTTCTCAAAAAATCAAATTATTTGCTCGTGTTGAACCAAGTCATAAATCTTTATTAGTTGATTATTTACAAAAATCCGGTAAAATTGTTGCAATGACTGGTGATGGTGTTAATGATGCACCAGCTTTGAAAAAAGCCGATATTGGTATTTCAATGGGGTCAGGAACTGACGTTGCAAGATTAGCATCAGATTTAGTTTTACAAGATGATAATTTTGCTACAATTGTTAATGCAGTTAAAGAAGGTAGATTGATTTATAATAATACTAGACAATTTATTCGTTATTTAATTTCATCAAATATCGGTGAAGTTGTTTCGATTTTCTTAACTGCTGCGTTAGGTTTACCAGAAGCTTTGATTCCTGTTCAATTATTATGGGTTAATTTAGTTACTGATGGATTGCCAGCATCTGCGTTAGGTTTTAATCCACCAGATTTGAAAATCATGTCAAAACCTCCAAAATCTAAAGATGAACCATTAGTCAGTCAATGGTTATTATTTAGATATATTATCGTGGGAACATATGTTGGTATTGCAACAGTTTTCGGATATGTATGGTATTTTATCTTTTATGAACAAGGTCCACAAATTTCTTATAATCAATTATCTCAATTCCATCAATGCTCTACAAAATTCCCAGAAATTGGTTGTGAGATCTTTACCAATGAACATGCTACACGTGGTTCAACAATCTCATTATCAATTTTGGTTATTATTGAAATGTTGAATGCAATGAATAATTTATCAGAATCTGATAGTTTATTAACTTTCCCACTTTGGAAGAATGTTTATTTGATTTTGGCAATTATTTTATCCATTATTTTACATTTTGCCATTTTATATATCCCATGGTTAGCTGTGTTATTCAATGTTGTTCCATTAAATAAAGATGAATGGATAGCTATCTTGGTTTTCTCTTCACCTGTTATTATTCTTGATGAATTATTTAAGTTATATGAGAGATTATTCCTTATTCCTCAAGTTGATAATGAAAAAGCCATTAAAAAGAACAAATGATTCACTTTCTCATTTCTTGTATAATTGAAAACCATATATAAAATAAAAAGTTATAATTGATATTTAAATTTCCCAGCTTATGTATTAATATATCTTTCAATTATATTAGTTATTAATGTTCTTCTGATTAATGCAATTTTTTTAAATTCATACTACAACACCATCATGTCTTCATCAACTACATTACCAAGACATTGTGTGCCATTTCATATAAGATATTCAATTTCTTACTGTCATCATTTTTTACTCTTATTTTTGCTGCATCTATTTTTCAAAATCATCTTTCATTTTTACACTTCTCCTTAAGGTATCTAGTACTATCTACCAGCTGCTGTTAAATGAGTAAGCTGAGCCTATGCGCTTCATAATTTCAGTTATATAAATACATTTATATAGATCATACCAATACACATTATTACTTTATTAGAAATTGAAGAAAATCCAAAAATCTGATTGAATTTAAAATCTCCATAAATTAAAATCTCATACATATACTACATAATATTAATATCAACAGGCGATAAAAAGCTTTCTGGGTAGCTAATATCTATTATACATAATTTGAGAGGTTTGAATTATAATCGATCTTGCTCAAAGATATATTCGTCAGCGATCTGAGAATTATAATAATTAAAGCGATCATATTAATATTATTGAGAACATTTATATTATATAACGTCGGGCGCCAGCTAATTATATTAGTCGACTAACGTATATATAACTTGTTTATGGCCCCGCATATAATATAATCACTTAATATTCATACTCTTAATATAAGCTTTAATTGATCATATTTTAATATCAATTTGCAGATAGCTTTCAGCTTCTTGATATTTATAAATTATTGACAACTCGTTTAATCATCATCATGAAAATTGAAAAATATTCAGAATATATAATTGAAATTTCTGCTGAATTATATGATCCAACTTCTTATAGATACGTTGGTAATATTGCTCGTCATGACGAACCCAATAATTTATTAATTGCAAAATCACCAAAGAACTTCAAGTTAAATCATGAAACTTTTAATAATCTTTCTAGAGATAAAGCTGAAAAGAAACTAGCACGTGTTTTCAAAAAGTTTCCTAAGCCAGTGAGGGAATTATCATTGATTTATAAATCTATTGAGATAAACTGGCAAAATGTTGATGAATGTATGGAATCAACATGTAAATGTCAATTTTTTTTAATGCCTGGGTATGATTTGAAAGATTGTCTAATTGAAATCTTATCAAACTTGATTAAGAATTTCCAAAGTGATATACCTGATTTCTTAAACACTGAATGTTTTGGTAATGGGTTAGAAATGGTTAGAGAGAACAAATTATTAATGATTATTACCCATGAAGATGAAGATGATCAATTACCCTTAAGAATAATATTGGAAAGTTTGATATCATATGTTTTATCAGATGAATATGAAGAAGAGATAATTCCTGAACAAAGCTCATATGATCATGAAGTTAAAGCATATGAATTTAATTATCAAGATCAACTTAAACTTATGGTAATATGGGGTGAAAAGGCTGAACAAGTAATGTTGGAACAATTGAACTATATGATATCAAATGATGTGTTATCGGAACCTTCAAATGCTAATGTAATTACATTGATTCCTAGTTATTTAAATTATAATGTCTCGAATCATAATGATGAGCTTCCACCAAGTTATGGATCAAGTGTTTTAAAATGATAAATTAATATTGTATAAATCTGAAATAAATGTAATAATGTGTCGCATACCAGAAGATTTATAAACAAATTAAACCGAAATCAAAACAATATCAACGCTTCACAAGAAATCAAGATCAATCACAAAAGAATATCAAACAATTCCAATTGGGAGTGGATTTAAAGAAATGAATTACTCTGGGGAGGACGAGGACTTGGATTACCAGAGTAGTTTTTCTGAAGATGAGACCATTGATGACCGCGGTGTGGTGGAGAGTCCAACATTCAAAGTGACAGATTTATTGACAAGTTTAGGAGAAAAAAACCAAGATGTTGATTATTTGGTGACAAAGGGTAATGATCTAGTGATATTGCTACAAGAATATCCATATATCAAAGAGGATTTAGTTTTCAGTGCTTTTGGTCATAGAATTCAAACGTTATTGGTTCATAATAGGAAAGAAGTTATTGCTACAGGTTATAGAATTTGTAGATATTTTGTATCAGATATTGATTCAATAAGGAACTTGATGGCTTTAAGATTAGATGTACTGATTATAATATCATTGGCTAAGGGAACTTCACATGATATTGAAAGAGAGCAGGCTCTTAAATTAATAAGGAAATTTTTGGAAATTGAAAATGGTGCATCAGAATTAACATTAGGTATAACAAATGCTATTCAGGCAATAGCTGAACAAATTGATGAAAATTTAAAGAATATTTGTATTGAAACAATGTGTGAAATTTCATTACTAAGACCAGATCTTATACGGCCAGATTCATTAATTCAATTTATCATTGATGGTCCATATGAATTATCTTCATTATGCTCCACTGTATTCTTAGCACATTTAGATTCTCCAAATGGTAGACATTATATTAATAAATCAGATATTCTGAGAATTATTTCACCATTTACTGAATTCCCAGTTATTGTTAAAGGTAAATTGAATATAAGTCATGAAAGATTACAAATTAATTCAATTGTTTTATCAAAATTTATTAAGAATTTTGCTGGGATTTATGGATTTTCAATTGATAATTTTGAACCATTGAAAAATTTAATCTCATGTTTATCATATCCTATCAATAGTGTTGTTTCAAAATTATTAGATTTATTCTTGGATGTATTAATGATTAAGAAAACTTCAACTCATAATAAGAAATTTTTCAATTTAACACCTTTAAAATTGGAAAATGAATTCATATTAAGTACACATTATTTATCATTATTAATTACAATTTTTTTAAATTGTGGAATTATTGAAAGATTATTAGATGTTGTTAAAAAATCAAATGATGAAAGAAATTGTACAAAAGCTGCATTTTTACTAACTGAAATTTTCAATTTATCAAATAATTTAGTACCTAATGAAATAACTGAAACCTTCATTGGTAACATACCAAACTTTAAACCTGATTCATCAATAGAGAATAATGTCAGTCAACAATTAACAAATTTAGATGATAGTTATAGTGCAATCCATACAATTGAAAAATTATCAAGAAAATTAAATAAAGGTAGAGCTAATTGGGGGTTACAAGGTATAAAGACAACAGAAAATTTTATACAATTTTCTAAAAATTCTAAAGATCAATTAAATTTAAAAATTGATGATTTAAAATTAAAACAATTAATTCAAGATTCAAGAGTTTTAACAACAAAATCATTTACAAGATGGAATTGTGATATTTTAACAGATTTATTTAAAGGACCATTTATGAATGGGAAAAGATTAGAAGAAGTTAATAAAACAACAAAATTCATCAAGAGATTATTATCATTTTATAGACCTTTTAAACATAAATTTTCAGGAACCAAAAAGACAAGACAATCAACAAGATTTATAAGATTAGGTTGTACAATTGTGGAAACTTTAATTACAACAAATGAAGGTTTAAAAATTTTGAGTGATGGTAAAATTATACCACAAATTGCTGAATGTTTAGCACAAGTTGATCCTCATAGTGGATTTATTGCTAAGGATCAAATTTTCAGTAAAGAAAGATTAGAATCAACATTAACAAGTGGATATTTCAAGATATTGGGGATTTTATCAGCAAATGAATCTGGGAATAAATTATTAGAACAATGGAAAATTTTCAGTATAATGCATCATATAAGTGATGATCATTTTAAAAGAGATGATTTAGTTATATCATTTATTGATGAAATAAAATTTACAAAACAAGGTCATACAAGAATTTTATTTTCAAAATTTTTACATTCTCCAAATAAAAAAATTAAAATTCATACAACTTTACAAATTCCAAAATTATTAGATGATTCTTATTCAAATAAATTTGCATGTGAAATGTTAATTAATCAATTATATGATCATGATGAAGAAGTTGTTACAATAAGTATTGATATTTTGAATAAATATTGTGAATCATCAGAGAAGAATCTTAATCAAGTTATTTCATTAACACCAAGTATACCCATTTTGAAAAATTTAGGTCCCAAGGGAGGGAATGATTTATTAATGAAATTTCTATCTACACCTGATGGGTTTAAATATTTAAATGGATCAAATTTTATTAATGAAGAGTTAGAATCATGGGTATTTGGATCAAAATATTTAAAATATGTTTTAGAATTAGAAAAATTATTATTTTCAATTGAAGATTCAAATTTAGATTATATTAAAACCAAAAATCTACCAAGTAATTTCTTTGCAGAATTAGTTAAATCAGAAGAAGGTTTTAATGTTATTTTAAGATCTGGTGCATTAACTGAATTTATGAATGTTATAAGATATTATGCAACTACGCTAGATAGACCTGGTGGAACTTTTAATTTAGAAATTGATTATTTGAAAACTAAAGCATCGCTATGGACAATTGGATTTATTGGTTCAAGTTCATTTGGTATTGAATCATTAGATGTTAATGGATCAATTGAAGATATAGTGGAAATTGCTAAAAAATCTCCATATATAAATTTAAGAGGTACAGCATTTTATGTATTAGGATTAATATCAAAGACAAATCAAGGTATTGAAATTTTGGATGATTTAGGATGGAATTCTAAATTGGATGTTTTCAATCAATCTATTGGTATTGCAATGCCTAATTCATTAGAACATTTTATTTTAGATTTCCATGAATCAAATGATTATAAAATTAATAATACAGGTATTGAAACAAATTTAAATTTATTAATTGATCCTTCAGAAATTGATGATGAGATATTAAATAAAATTTTAAAATTAATTGGAGATTTATGTAATCATGTATTATTAAATAGTGCAACAAAAGAATTAACAACATTATCAAAAAAACATCAAGAATATTTTGAAGATCCAAATATTTTTTTTAAAGTTTTAAAATATTTTGAAATTTTTAAATATAGATATACTATAAGGAAATTTGTTGTTGATTTATTTATTTCAAATGGGAGACTATTAGAAGTTATTTCAAAGAGAGATAGAAGAAGAATAAGAGAAAGAAATGGACATAGTACGGCAAGTGCATGAATATGTATAGATGTACTGAACGATTTGAATGATTATGAATTTAGATCGTAGCTTATGGGATTATATTATAAGATCATCAGGAAGGTACGTGTCAATAAGAATGGAATAGACCCACGTTTATACCATGTTGACTAACTTGTTATCATTATAACACCACCGTGTCATCTTGGGGCGTGTGTTTTTGGACAATTACTTACAATTATTAATACTCCTCTCCTTAACAACTACAATACCCATATCCAATACTATTTCCATCGATGAATACACCCAATACTAGTTAATACACAAACTAAAAATGTCTATACCCTCTGTCATCGCTATACAAATTAGGAAATTGTACAAATTTCATATTTAGATTACTAATATAATATATTTCGGACATTTAGTTTATAATATATATATACCCCCAGTGACACTATTATCTAATCATTACCTAATCAGATGTTTTTCAAATATCACGTGCCATCGTATCATCCCCCGGAATATACCCAATCAGGAAACTCACAGATTAAGCACAATCTCTGACTCACCCACAGTCGGAACTCGTTTAGCTGCTGCTGTTTTTTTTTTTTGTTCACTGTCAATAAAAGAAAAAAAGTCAATTTGACTCCGAGTTGAACGTTGGAATACTAGTGATTTCAATGGAATTGTTAGGGTTTCCAATGATTTAAAATGGTGTATAGGTCAATTGAACTGTGAAGATTTCAATTGTTTAGTTAATTCTATTGATTTCTCACTCCTTTACCTTGTAACATACCATTCCTTCTGCTTCCCAAACTCCATCCCGTTATCGCTCGTAGTGGTCCTTACCGGGATTTGGAGATGTGCTTTCAAGTTTTTTGCATGTGTTTTGTTGAATCGAATCTCGACAAAGTTGGAAAACGTTTAACATATGAAAAATTCATATGAAAAATTTTCCCCTTATACATAAAAGTATAAATAATCTTGTTGATCCTCAATTTTAATAATTGTTTTTAAACTTGAACTCCTAAATCATCAATTGATCAATTAATTAAATCAATTAACAAATAATCAATATCAAAAATGGTTCAATCATCCGTTTTAGGTTTCCCAAGAATTGGTGCTAACAGAGAATTAAAGAAAACAACTGAAGCTTACTGGTCTGGTAAAGTTTCTGTTGAAGAATTAATTAAAGTTGGTAAAGAAATCAGAGCTAACAACTGGAAATTACAAAAAGATGCTGGTGTTGATGTTATCCCATCAAATGATTTCTCTTACTATGATCAAGTTTTAGATTTATCTTTATTATTCAATGCTATCCCAGAACGTTACACCAAATTTGATTTACAACCAATTGATGTTTTATTTGCTATGGGTAGAGGTTTACAAAAAAAAGCTACTGAAACTGAAAAAGCTGTTGATGTTACTGCTTTAGAAATGGTTAAATGGTTTGATTCTAACTACCATTATGTTAGACCAACTTTCTCTCATTCAACTGAATTCAAATTAACTTCTCAAAAACCAGTTGATGAATATTTAGAAGCTAAAGAACAAGGTGTTGAAACTAGACCAGTCTTATTAGGTCCTGTCTCTTACTTATTCTTAGGTAAAGCTGACAAAGATTCTTTAGATTTAGAACCAATTTCATTATTAGAAAAATTATTACCAGTTTATTCTGAAATTTTATCAAAATTATCTGCTGCTGGTGCTAAATCTGTTCAAATTGATGAACCAATCTTAGTTTTAGATTTAGAAGAAAATATTAAAACTGCTATTAAAACTGCTTATGAATTTTTCTCTAAACAAGAAGGTTTACCATCATTAGTTTTAGCTACTTATTTCGGTACTGTTATTCCAAACATTGATGCCTTAAAAGGTTTACCAGTTAGTGCTTTACATGTTGATTTAGTTAGAAACCCAGAACAATTAGATCAAGTTTTAGAAATCTTATCACCAGAACAAACTTTATCTGCAGGTGTTGTTGATGGTCGTAACATTTGGAAAGCTGATTTCTCAAAAGCTTCAGAAATTGTTAACAAAGCTATTGCTAAATTAGGTAAAGAAAGAGTTTTAGTTGCTACTTCTTCATCATTATTACATACTCCAGTTGATTTAGAAAATGAAACTAAATTATCTGCTGAAATTAAAGATTTCTTTTCATTTGCCACTCAAAAAGTTAAAGAAGTTGTTGTTATTTCTAAAAACGTTTCAGGTGAAGATGTTAAAGCTGAATTGGAAGCTAATGCTAAATCAGTTTCTACTCGTGCTGCTTCAGATGTTACCAATGATGATTCAGTTCAAACTAGAGTTTCATCAATTGATGATAAATTAGGTCGTCGTTCATCACCATTTACTGAACGTTTATCAGAACAAGAAAAAGTTTTCAATTTACCATTATTCCCAACTACTACTATTGGTTCATTCCCTCAAACTAAAGATATTAGAATTAATAGAAACAAATTCACTAAAGGTACTATTACTAAAGAAGAATATGAAAAATTCATTGAATCTGAAATTGAAAAAGTTGTCAGATTCCAAGAAGAAGTTGGTTTAGATGTCTTAGTTCATGGTGAACCAGAAAGAAACGATATGGTTCAATACTTTGGTGAACAATTGAAAGGTTTCGCCTTCACCACAAACGGTTGGGTTCAATCTTATGGTTCAAGATATGTTCGTCCACCAATTATTGTTGGTGATGTTTCAAGACCAGCTCCAATGTCTGTTAAAGAATCTGTTTATGCTCAATCAATCACTACTAAAGCTATGAAAGGTATGTTGACTGGTCCAGTTACCATTTTAAGATGGTCATTCCCAAGAGTTGATATTCCACAAAAACAACAAGCTTTACAATTAGGTTTAGCTTTAAGAGATGAAGTTAATGATTTAGAAGCTGCTGGTATTAAAGTTATCCAAGTTGATGAACCAGCTATTAGAGAAGGTTTACCATTAAGAGCTGGTGAAGAAAGACAAGATTATTACCAATGGGCTGCTGAATCATTCAGAATTGCTACCTCAGGTGTTAAAAATGTTACTCAAATCCATTCACATTTCTGTTATTCAGATTTAGATCCAAACCATATTAAAGCTTTAGATGCTGATGTTGTTTCTATTGAATTCTCTAAAAAAGATGATGCTAACTATATTCGTGAATTCTCTGATTATCCAAACCATGCTGGTTTAGGTTTATTTGATATTCATTCACCAAGAATTCCATCAAAAGAAGAATTCATTTCTAAAATTCAAAACATTTTAGAAGTTTATCCAGTTTCTAAATTCTGGGTTAACCCAGATTGTGGTTTGAAAACTAGAGGTTGGGAAGAAACTAGAGCTTCATTAACAAACATGGTTGAAGCTGCTAAACATTTCCGTGAAAAATATGCTAAAAAAGATTAAAATCTTTTGATTATTAGCTCATAAAATATATCATTTGATATATACATTTAAAAGTGTTCAATTCTGGACCTTTTAACAACTTTCATTATTCAACATCAATGAAGGTTTTTTAATGTCCTATTTAAATTACGTTAATTTTTTTATATATTATTTACTATTGTCTTTTATTTCTTTATGTTTGTTAGGTTTTGCATATAGGGATGTCTGGGATTTCAACATCGGTTTAATTATTTACGAATAAGTACAAAATATAGATTCTTATTTTTAAATTGAAGATGTAGTTAATTATACTTTACTTTACCAATGATTTGATTTGATATTAGTATATTAAATTGAAATTATGTACTTATTATTCCTTTCACGTGACCTTATTTACCCGCAATTCTGCCCCAGTAAAATATGGATTTTTGATATAGTGGCGATTTAATTAACACAGTGAAATTAATTGACAATTGAAATTAATTTGATACATTTCCAGGTTGTTCAAGGTTCAATTGATCGTATATATAAATACAGATCATGAGTGACAATTCAGAATTGATTAGTCAATTCTCAGAGTTGACCCAAGCTCCAACCACCGTTGCTGAAGCCTTGTTGAGCAGAAATGATTGGGATTTACAAGTAAGTTGATGATTAGGATAATATCTGCAATTGATACTAACTATACATCATATTATAGTCTGCATTGAATGGATTCTTCAATGGCTCTACTCAAAGAAGTTCACCAACACCAGAATCTTCAAGATCACAAACTCCAACATCTTCATCAGCTTCAAGATCAACAACAAATAATAAACCACAACAATCCAAAATGAAAACTTTCCAAGATTTAGTTAATTCAGATGGGAAAGATGATGATGATGAACAAAATTTCTTTGCTGGTGGTGGTAGAGGTTCAGGTTTAGAAGTTGAAAATCCTTCAGATCCAACAAATTTAGTTCAAGATCTTTTGAAAAAAGCTGAAACTGGTCAAGGTCATCCAGATCGTATGAATGAAGATGATGAAGAAGTTGTATCAAAACCAAAATTTACCGGGACAGGTTATTCATTAGGTAGTACAGATGTTCCATCAAGAGTTATTGGTTCAAGAAGTTCAGGACCAAAAAAATTAGAAAAAGCAACAAGAGAAATTACATTTTGGAAAGATGGTTTCCAAGTTGGTGATGGTAAACTTTATAAATATGATGATCCTGCAAATGCTACATATTTAGCTGAATTAAATAGTGGACGTGCTCCATTAGCTTTATTAGATGTTGAATATGGTCAAAATGTTGATGTTAATGTTATAAAAAAATTAGATGAAGAATATAAACCACCAAAGAGAAAAATTGGTGGATTCCATGGATCAGGTCAAAGATTAGGTTCACCAGTTTCAACTGATTATCAACCACCAGCACCACAAGCACAAGCACCAACTACAACAGAATCTAAACAAGAACCATCACAACCTAAAGATGAAGGTTCAGGTGATACTCAAGTACAAATAAGATTAGCAGATGGTCGTAGAGTAGTACGTCGTGTTGAATCAAATGGACCAGTTAAACAATTATATGATTATGTTACAAGTGAAACATCATCAACAAAATCATTTGTCTTGAGTCATGCATTCCCAGTTAAACCAATTGAAGATAAAGAACAAAGTATAAAAGAAGCTGGTTTAATAAATTCAGTTGTTGTTCAAAGATGGGTATAGAAAAATAACCTGGAACTTTGAAATAAAATGTCTATTTAATGCTATTTTACTTTGTTGCATTACAATTTAACATGTGTAGTTATTCAATTGATATCCTATCCTATATTTAGCTTGCGATACTTTAGTAATGAAACTCTTTTGTCTTGATGTCTGATAATGATTGATATCAGTTCCATATGTATGCGCGAAAATGAATATTACTTGTGGGGGCAAATTAGATCTCGACAATAAACAATAAACAAATTTGACAGACTGAAAAGAACCGTTTACAATCAATTTGAATTTGCATTCTCAGATTATATTATTCCCATTGCATTTGCTTGATTTCCTTTGTTTATATTGCATCTCAAAATCCACATGAATTTGTTGATTTTTATATGACTTGATTTCCCCAGATATGTTAATCAAGATTCCAATAAGACAATTTCAAATTAGGTCATTGCAAATACCCAAAAGATTAATTTCAGATGGGTTCTTCAATAGACATATCATAAATCCATTATTTGGTGGTCCTGGTGGTTCTGGTGCTACAAGATTACATCCAAATGCTGGTATCCCGTCTCAAATCAAAATTGAACCTATAGTGAAAGTTCCATCAATATTTGATTATTATGAAAAATTCAGACCATCTACTGGGTTCAATCCTGATTATTTCCCCATTGATTCGAGATTTATATCATCTGAAAGATTAGGGTATAGTGGAAGCTTGTTGCAACGTCCAGATGTTGGATCTCTTGTTGAAGTTCAAAAAGATAATGGTTCAATTCATTTAGGAATTGTAATCTCCAAGCAATTAGGACTTTTCCATGAAGATTTGGATAAATTATCAATGATTGATGTTAATGGTGAACAAGTGGATTTCATTGCAAGTGATATAAGTTTCCATTTATTCAAAGTTATTGATAAATCAACTATTGAACAACCATTATCTATAAGGACAATTGACCAAGTAGTTCAAACTTTGAATTATTTCATAAATACATCTTTAATCATAAGGCATAATAATATGGAACTTTATCAAGCTGCTCAGGCATGGTTTATCAAAGATCAATCATCGGTTAAAGTTGATTTAGAAGAAATTACAAAATTTATCAAAAAATACACTACAAAAAAATCAAATATTAATGATTTATTACAATTGGAATGTATGTTATTTGCAACACATTTAGAATTGTCTAGAGATCCTGTTAATTGGTTTACTTTCAAAAATAAAGCCAATCATCATTTAGATAATAGAATAAGTAAATCCATTGCTCAATTCAATTATTATTCAAATTCAATTGAAACCTCTGAATATTTAGAATTAGCAACAAGACTAAATGATGAAACTTTGACAAGAATTGGGGAATCCTTTAAAAACCAAATTAATGAAAATGATCTTGATCTAAAAGATTATGATGATTTGAAACCATATATTAAATCTGTTATTCAACTAATGAAACATTATATCATTTATCCACACCCATTATTAAAAGAAAGATTAGTACCTATAATGACTGCTGTACTATCATCATCATCAGATTTTACAACCCAGAAAGTTTATGATATTCTAGAAGAACTAGATGAATATAATGAAGATACTCATATTTTCCAAACTTTAGATTCAAAATCAATAAACCACCAAAATTCCATTCCAAATATAGAAATTTCAAGATCAACATATGATTATTTCCAATATATGAGAGAACCATTCCAAAAAACTGCATATGGTATTCCATCAATTTCAAATTTAAATATTTCAGATCTTGCTATATCATTAGATAAATCTATTGATTCATGGTTTTTACAAATTCATGTATTAGATGTTGGTAGTCAAATTTCACTAAATTCTAAACTTGTTGAAGAATTTATTAAGAATCAAGTATCAATTAGTGATGATCCAGAAAATCCATTAATACCTGAAAATATTTTGGAAATGTTAATTTTCCATAATAACAGCCCGGGGAATAATGCAATTACATTTAATATTGAATTCCCATTGAAAAGTTTTAATGGATGGGAAGATTCTAAATTGATTTCAATTGGATTAACAAGTCTTGATGCATTTAAATTTGTTCCAATTGAAGAAATTAATGATTTAATTGATACTAAAGTTGATTTATTAAGTTTAATTTTCAAATCAAATGAAAAACAATCAAAACACAAGGTATTAGATTCAAATGATAAATCTTCATTATCAAGTATTTTTAAATTAATTGAACAATGGCAAATTATAAGAAATAATAAACATTCATTAGAGTTTTCGTTCCCATATAAGAAATGCATTAAACAAAAAGATGGTTCATTAAAACTTTTAGATTCAATACCATTAAATTTAGATTTTTTGAAATTTATACGGAATGAATTAAATTTTATGATCAGTGAACATTTAAACAATTATGAAAATCATGATATACCATTAATTAAGCATTCACAAGATATTTTACCACCGTTAAATGATTCAATTGAAGTTGAATCAAATAAATTTAGTATCCCCAATTATCAAAGTTTAAAATATGAACATTTTACACTTTTCCCAAATGTTAGAGGTGAAATATCATTGAAGAAATTCATTTGTGGTTCCCAATTTTTAAATCATGAAGTTATAACAACTAGTTCTAATCAGGGTTCTAGTTATTATAAACATGGATTATCATCAGGTTTTATTAATATTATGAATGGATTAAATAATTATGAAGATTTAGTGAATCAATGGCAAATAATAATGTATTTGAAAAAACAATTACAATTAAATGAAGGTTATAATTTCCATTTAAATCAACATTTATTAAATTTTAAATTGATGAATTCTAATGAATTATTAAAATTTTATAAATATGAAATTGAACCAATCCAAGTACAAAATAAACAAATTTCATATTGGAAAGATAGATATTGGAAACTTCAATGGGTTGAAGAAGCAAAATTGAGAGAAGAATGGATTTTATTTCAATGTACAATAACATCACCAATAAACCCTTTAACAAAAATATGTGAAGCATATTGTCATGATCTTGATTTACAAGTTGAAATATTAATAAAAAATATAGAAACAAACAATACCATACATATTGGAGATCAATTAATATGTACAAATATTATAGAATTAAATTATATAGATTCAAGATTAATACTTTCAATATAATTTTAAATCACCAGTAACTTGATCTAAAATTGCCTTTGGAGCAGGACCAAGACCCAAGACAGTAGCACTACCAGCAGCGATTTGAGTTCTTCCAGCATCATGAACAATATAAGCATTGATATTCAAACTTATAGCCTTGGCGAATAAAAGATCCATATCTTCTTTTGATTGAGTTTTCAAAGTAATTTTAGCCTGGCCAGTATGTTCCCATCTTTGTAACATTGGTAAATTTTGTGAAGATTGATTATCATGTAACATTAATCTATAACAACCAAGAGCAGCATGAGCACATTGAGCAGCAATTTTACCCTTTTCCATTTTTAAATCTTGACGTACAACTAATGCCATTTTAGTTTCACCTGGGATATCATTTAATGAAGTTGAATCAACTTCAAAATCTTCCTCTTCAGATTCTTCTAAATCTAATGATTCTGTATATGATGCATCTTCTTCATCATCTTCTTCAAAAGATTCATCAGTTATATCAGATGGTGAATTTGATGGTGAACTTTGATTTCTATTATTCTTTAATTTCCTTGATTTGATATGAGTATGCTGATTTGAAATTGGAGTGAAATAGTGGCCCAAGTAAAGACCAGTGGCTAAAGACAAAGCACAAGCCGTTATAAGTTGGATATTAAGTGACATTGTTGACTGTTGTTTGATATAAATCTGTGTTTATTTGCTATTAAGAAGGAAGTGAAAGTAATCAAGTTTTTTTTTTTTTTTTTGATTATATATTGTTAACGGGACACAAACAATATAACGGTTGAAGACGTATATAACAATCGAAAAGACTACAATATTTGACTAGATTTGAATACTTATATGCTAATTCTATTGATCACGTTATCCTAAGAATGAAGTTCTATTATTTTACCTACTTTTCCCAGCTTTCTATCATTAATATACCACAATTCATGCTAAAACTTTTGTCTTTTTTTTACCATTTGAACTCTTCTTCTTCTTTTTTTCCACTTTATTAGCATAAGATCTCCAATTTTTCACTCTTGAATCCTGATTTGCCTCCCATTGTTTCTTATATTCAGTTTTCAATTTATTTAATTCTAATTCTTCCTCTTTTAATCGATCTAATTCACCTTGTTTTTGTAAATCTTGTTTTACTTTAATTCTTTTTTGGAACTCTTCTTGTATGAGTAAGTCTTTGAATAAGTTATATATTTCTTTATTATTTGATTTATGTATTGGTTCGATATCTTCTTTAGCTTTGCTCCATATCGTGTTTAATTTTGTTTTGATTTCTTCATTTGATATATCAGATTCAGCTTTTTTCAACAAATCAAAAGCTTTTGAAGCATCAGGATTAGATGTCTTATCAGGATGTATTAATAGTGATTTGGATCTATAGACTTTCTTAATTTCAATAGCAGTATAATTTGTATCATGATCTAATTGAAGTATAGCATATGGATCTAATTTAAAAGTTGTAATGATTCTATTGATTTCATTGTCCTAATTGAGATGGTTAGTAAAATAACAATTGAAAAACTAGACAAGGTGGAAATGTTACATACTCTCTTAAGATCCAATTCTTGTCTTTTGAGTTCAGATTCTTCCATTGTTGTATTAGTTGAACTCTTAATCAAAGATAAAATGAAGTAGAGTAAAGTGAAGTGAACAAATCCAAATTATATTTCGCGATCTATATATAATAATGTTGATCCATTATTTGGAAATTACAATGGTAGTATATATATATATCAGAAATGAGTTGAAAGTATTCCGATTTTTAAAAATTCTGATAAAAATATTTACCCTTAGCTATATCAAATAGTAATCCGAAAAAGACCGTTGTTGGTCAAATAATGTATCAAATGTGTAATGTTCTATTATATTTAACAATTTCGCCGCGCAGATTTTTCCCCAGATTTCTCTATTTATGAGTTTCTTAGCAGATAGTGGTTAGTTTGAGCTCAAAATTGTATGAAAATGATCACAAATTTTGACCTAACTATGAATATCTTGTTTTTTTGTTCATACAAGCAAAAAAAAAAATTACAAGTTTCAAACTTATTTAAAATTAAAATGAATATTATTTATATAAGGTTCACATTTTATCAAAATCATAAAATCTCAAAATTTCATTAAAATCATTTTTACTAGACAAAATTACACATAAATCCTTAAACTCCACCCCAAACTGACCATAAAACTGTATTAAAACCATACTACTATAGTACAAACTTATTGAAATATAAACAATTTTAGTTTTGAGTACAATTTAAGTCCCGGATTC